GAAGGATGATAATCTATTAGACAATCTGTCTGAAAAATAAAGTTTAAAAGGGGTGACTGTTATTCTGGGTTACATTCTTACACCAAGGGATTTCAGGCTAGGCTAAAAGGTGTTTAGTCATTTGCCAAGTCTGTGTGTGAAAAAAGTCAGAAGCAGGTGGGGGTTTCCCAAAATTTTTTTTAAAAATTTTTTGGGGAAAGGGGTTTTTTCCCCGGGAAAATTTTTTTGGGGGGGTTGATTTTTTTTGGGGGGGTTTTTTGGGGAAAAACCCCAAAAAAACTAATTTTAAATTTGGGTAAAGGGGGGTTTTGGGGGAAAAAAAAAAATTTTAAGGGAAAATTTTTTTTTTTTTTTTAAAGGGCCTTTAAAAAAAAATTTTTAAAAGGTTAAGGGGGGGGTTTAATAAAGGGGAAAAAAATTTTTTGGGAAAAAAAAAAAAAAAAAAAAAAAGGGAAAAATTTATTTTTTAAAAATTTTTTTTAAAAAAAAAAAAAAAAAATTTTTAAAAAAAAAAACCCCTTTTTTAAAAAAAAAAAAGGGGAAAGGGGGAAAAAAAAATTTTTGGGGGGAAAATTTTTTTTGGGGAAAAAAGGGAAAAAATTTTGGGGAAAAAAGGTTGTTTGGGGGGAAAAAAGGGGAAATTTTTGGGGGGGGGGCCTTTTTTTGTTTTCCAAAGGGGGAAAAAAATTTTTGGGAAAAAAAAAAAATTTGGGGTCTTTTAAAATTTTTTGGGGTTTTTGGGAAAATTAAAATTTTTTAAAAAAATTTTGGGGTTTTGGGGCCCCCTTTTTTGGGGGGAAGGGGGGAAAAAAAATTTTTAAAATGGGGGCCAAAATTTTTTTTTTTTTAAAAAAAAAGGGGGGTTTTTCCGTTTTAAAAAAAAGGGGGGGCCCCCTTTTTTTTTTTTGGGGGGGGGGGGGCCCCCCCAAAAAAAAAAGGGGTTTTCCCCTTTTTTTTTTTTTTTGGGGGGGTTTTTTAAAAAAATTTTGGGGGCTTTAAATTTTTTTTAAAAAAAAGGGGGTTAGTTTTTAAAAAAAAAAGGGGGGAAAAAGGGGAAAAAAAAGGGGGGGGGGGGGTTTGGGGAAAAAAAAAAAAAAAAAGGAAAAAAAAAAAGGGAAAAAAAAAAATTTGGGGGAAAAGGGGGGAAAAAAAAAAAAAAAAAATTGGGGTTTTTTGGGGGGGTTTTGGGGGGAAAAAACAAAAGGGAAAGGGGGGGGGGGTTGAATTAAAATTTTTAAAAAAAAGGGAAAAAAAAATTAAAATTTTTTTGGAAAAACTTTTTTTTTTTTTAAAAAAAATTTTTTTTTTGGGGGGGGGGGGAAAAAGGGGGTTTTTTAAAAAAAATTTTTTTTTTTTTAAAAAAGGGGGGTTTTTTTTGGGGAAAAAATTTTTTTTTCCCCCCAAAAAGGGGGTTTGGGGGGGGGGGAAAAAAAAAAATTTTTTAAAAAAAAAAAAATTTTTTTTTTTTAAAAAAAAATTTTTTGGGGGGGGGGGGGGGGGGGGGTTAAATTTTTTAAAAATTTTTTTAAAAAAAAAGGGGGGGGGGGCCCAAAGGGAAAATTTTGGGAAAAAGGGGGGGGGGGGGGTTTTTAAAATTTGGGGCCAAAAAAAAAATTTTGGGGAAATTTTTTTTTTTTTAAAAGGGAAAAAATTTTTTTTTTTTTTTTAAAAAATTTTTAAAAGGTTGGGGGGTGGAAAATTTAGATTTGGGGTTTTTTTTAACCGGGGTTGGGGGGGTTTTTTTTTTTTTAAAATTTTTTTTTAAAAATTTTGGGGGGGGAAAAAAAAAAAATTTTTGTTTTTTTTTTGGGAAAAAAAGGGGGGGGGGGTTTTTTTTTTGTTTTTTTTTTTCCCAAAAAAAAAAATTTGGGGGGTTTTTTTTAAATTTTTTTTGGGGGGGTTTTTTTTTTTTTTTTTAAAAATTTTTTAAAAAAAGGGGGGGGGGGGTTTTTTTAAAAAAAGGGGGGGGGGAATTCCTTTTTCCTTTTTTTTTTGGGGCCGGGGGGGGAATTTTAAGGGGGCCCCGGGGGAAAAAAAAAAGGGGGGGAAAACAATTTTTGGGGGGGGGAAAAAAAGGTTTGGGGGGGGGTTTTAAAATTGGGGGAAAATTTTTGTTTAATTTTTTAAAATTTTTTAAAAAAAATTTTGGGGGAAAAATTTTTTTTTAAGGGGGGGGAAATTTTTTTTTTTTTTGGGGGGGTTTTGGGGGGGGGTTAAAATTTTTTTTAAGGGGAAAATTTTTTTTTTTGGGGGGGGGTTTTAAAGGGGTTTTTGGGGGTTTTTTTTAAAAGGGGGGAAAAAATTTTTTTTGGTTTTTTGGGGGGTCCCCGGGGGGGTTTTTTCCAAAAAAAAAAATTTTTTTTTTATATTTTTTCCCCATTTTTTTTCAAATTTTAAAAAAGGGTTTTTAAAATAATTTTTTTAAAAAAAAAAGGGAAAAATTTTTTTTTTTTCTTTTTTTTTTTTTGGTTTTTTAAAAAAAAGGGGAAAATTTTTTATTTTTTGGGTTTTTTTTTTTTTTGGGGGTTTTTTTTTAAAAAAAAAAATTTTTTTTTTTTTTTTTTTAAAAAAAAGGGGTTTTTTTGAAGGGGGAAAAAGGGTTTTTTAAAAAAAAAAAAAAAAGGGGGGGAAAAAGGGGGGGGAAGATGGCCCGGGGGGGTTTTTTTTTGGGGGGAAAGGGGGGAAAAAAATTTTTTTGGGGGTTTTTTTCCCCCCCCCCCCTTTTTTTTTTTTAAACCCCTTTTTTTTTTAAAAAAATTTTTTTTTAAAAATTCCCCCTTCCCCTTTTTAAAAAATTTTTTTGAAACCCTTTTTTTTAAAAACCGGGCCCTTTTTTTTAAAAAAGGGGGTTTTTTTTTATGGGTTTTTTGGTTTCCCAAAAAAAAATTTTTTTTTTTTTTTTAAAAAATTTTTTTTAAAAAAAAAAAAAAATTTTTTTTTAAAAAAAAGGGGGTTTTTTAAAAAAAAATTAAAATTTTTTAAAAAAAAATTTTTTTTTTTTTAATGGTTAAGGGCCCCAAGGGGGGGGGGCCCCCCAAAGGTTTTAAAACCGGGTTTTTTCCCCCCCCGGGGGGGGGGGGGGGCCCCCCCCCCCCCCGGGGGGGGGGGGGGGGCCCCGGGGGGGGGGGGAAAGGGGGTTTAAGGGGGGGCCCCCCCCGGGGGGGGGGGGTTTTTTTTAAAAAAATTTTTTAAAAAAAAAATTTTTTTTTTCCGGAAAAAATTTTAAAAATTTAAAAAAAAAAATTTTTTAAATATGTTTGTTTCAATTGAAGAATGGAATGTTGTTGATGTTAGTATCAAAAAGGAATGTTTTAGGTGTAACGTCACATACAACAGACAGGAAGTGTGTTGTAGACAGGGGAGACTGGTGATTGGCCAGAAGAGGGAGCATCATTGGTTATAAATAGGGGGGAAAACGAAGGAGAGGGCAGAACGAGCAGCCATTCTGAGGCGTCACTCTCCGGGTGTCATGTCACCTGTCACTCATGCTGAAGCTTGTGATCTGAATAAACCTTATGATCAACGTTCAGTATGAGCAGACTCCTTTTGTTCATCAGCAATAATTGCCACCACTCACTCGATACGACACTTTAAATAGAAACATTTGCTGGCTACTCACTAGCAGTGGGCTTTTTTTGAGAAATTATTTGAAACCTGTGTTCATTTTCTATAATGCCTGCTACCAGACGTTGGTCATTATTAGTGGATGTGTATGGTTCTGGTTACATTTGTAACAAAAAATGGCATTTACATAGCAACACTTGAAAGCAGATCAGGTGATTATTGAAAAAAAGCAGGTTAAATTATTTTGATAAAATAATACAATTATTAGTGGGTCTAATGGTTGAATGTGGAAATACTCTAGAGCTCCTGAGTGGCGCAGTGGTCTAAGGCACTGCATCGCAGTGCTAACTGTGCCACTAGAGATCCTGGTTTGAATCCAGGCTCTGTCGCAGCCGGCCGCGACCGGGAGACTCATGGGCGGCGCACAATTGGTCCAGGGTAGGGGAGGGAATGGCCGGCAGGGATGTAGCTCAGTTGATAGAGCATGGCGTTTGCAACGCCAGGGTTGTGGGTTCGATTCCCATGGGGGGCCAGTATAAAAAAAATATATATATGTATTCACTAACTGTAAGTTGCTCTGGATAAGAGCATCTGCTAAATGACTAAAATGTAAATGAATGCTTATAATTAGCCTAGGTGTAATTTTACAAGCCTGAAATTCATTAGATTATTCCCGACTGGTTGAAATGCAGTTTATTAACCGTTTAATTGTGCAACAAAGCTTATTTAGAATATATATATATATATATATATATATATATATATATATATATTCAGACCCCTTGATTTTTTCCACATTTGGTTACTCTACAGCCTTAATCTAAAATTGATAAAATATTTCCTACACACAATATCCCATAATGACAAACCAGTTTTTGCTTTGTCATTATGGGGTATTGTGTGTAGATTGATGAGGGGGAAAAAACAATTTAATCAATTTTAGAATATGACTGTAACGTAATAAAATGTGGAAAACGTAAAGGGGTCTGAATACTTTCCCGAAGGCACTGTATATATAGTGAGTCGCACATAAGTTGTAGATGTGATTTTTAGGCCATATCGCCCAGCCCTAAGCAGGTGGCACATGTTTTCAACAAATACCAAAATGTATCATCAATTTATACATAAACTTCTATTCTATTATGTATTCTATTGTTCATTTTTGTATTTGAAATTGTTCCATTCTTTTTTACATACAATACTAACTATTACTCTATTTGTAAATAACATGAAAAATAAATAATATTATTTATAATATATAAATAACAAATAATATGTGAAATATCTCCCTCCTTTTTAGATACATCCTTCCTTTCCTCTCTTTGTACCCTGCATGTTTTACTTGTCAAATGTTTTCCTTTGCATTTCAAAAAGCAGCCAAAGGCTTTGTCTCCCGAACTTTAATCCAAGCTACATTTATTTTCCATCCCCCCCAGGTGACGATCATCATCTACCTGTCAGTGGTGGGCTCTCTGCTACTCTACATGTTGTTCCTGCTGCTGGTTGAACCTCTCATCCGTAAACATGACCCCTACATCCAACCCCTTCACAACGAGGAGGACTCTGAGGTATATGAACAGATATACACCACACAGAGGAAAAACACTGGGGTTGGTAGGTGAAGATATGGTCTCTGCTTCTTAACATCTGCAACACAATGTTACGTCTGTCGGGAGGCTGTGGGATGTGAGGGTTATGAGGAACAATTCTACTGGTTTGCTCGTTTTTGCGTCACAAACACTCTCTCTGTCTCTGTCTCTCCCTCTCCGTCTCTGTCTCTCTCTCCTCTCTCTCTCTCTCCTCTCTCTCTCTCTCTCTCTCTCTCTCTCTCTCTTACCCCCCCCCCCCCCTCTCTTACAGGACATGCGGCCACAGCCTTTGTATGCTGCTGCTGCCCAGGGAGGCAGAGGTAACACGGTACTGGAACGGGTAGAGGGGGCCCAGCAGCATTGGAAAAAAACAGGTCCAGGAACAGCGCAAGAATGTCTTTGACCGACACAAGATGCTTAGTTAAACCCCAATGTCTGACTTCAGATCAGAGGCTAGAGTCACCTCCCAAGCTTTGTCCACATCTGCTGCTGCTGTACTGTCATTAGCTACATTGTTGTTGTTCAGGATTTCAGTTCCTTTGCCATTTCAGTACGTTCCCAGCACATTTAGGATTGTTTATGAGCGTTACGGTAATTCTGTTTGGAACGATCGCTGGTCCAATGTCCTTTGTTACCAAAATGGTGGTTGCTGTCATGAGAATATAGATGTGTATCAAAATGAGGAGTATAGCCAAACAGCATAGTGTAAGTTGTGGTTGCATCATCATCTCTGCATCATCTGCATGGAAAGATAAAACGGAAAATGGATCTGGATATATTGCAAACACAGTATCAAAAATAAGCTGATTAAGAATCTTTTTAACAAGCTTAAGCACCTTTTTTGAAATCATTTTTAATCCTCATTGTAGCATTGTTGTATTGTGAAGCTACCTCAGCGCACCAGATACTTTAGGTAGGCTGAACGCTTGTGAATGATAGGCTCACTAAATAGGCTGCCGGTATGTAATTGGTTACCTTAATTATTAGCTGGTGCCAAGCAATGTTCATTCCTTAGTTTAAGCACGACGCCAGGACAGCGGAGTCACTCACCACCTTCCGGAGACATTTGAAACCCCACCTCTTTAAGGAATACCTGGGATAGGATAAACTAATCCTTCTACCCCCCCCCCCCCCCCCCCCCCCCCCCTAAAAAAATAAAAATAAAAATAAATAAATTGTAAAGTGGTTATCCCACTGGCTATAGGGTGAATGCACCAATTTGTAAGTCGCTCTGGATAAGAGCGTCTGCTAAATGACGTAAATGTAAATGTAAATGTAAGCACTGTTTATCAGAACCACAGCTCACTGCTTGTGGTTCATTTTGCACTTCGTGATGATATCCTTTGCACTTAAAGACACAAGAAAGGAAAGGGTATTCCTTTATTTAGCCATGTAATGATGATTGATAGTTTGGCTGGCTTTGAAATATTTGTTGTTTGAGAGGCTGTCTCTACCTGGAGTGGACACAGACAAGTGACACCTCTGAGGATGCTAAATGTGAATGGCTTAGCTTTTAACGCTCATTGTAATGTAGTAATTAACTGTAGAATCACTGGTTAATATTTTTTGGAATCACTGGAATGCCAAAGGGCTTTATATGATTCCAGAGTGGAATGTTGCAGTCAGTGGATTGTCTCACATTCCATTAACTAGCACTAACTGAGGCTATGTGCAATGTGTGTGCAGGGGGGTTATTTCCAGTCACAGGTCAAGTTATGCTAGCCTGCTTTACCTCAAACACACACACATTGAGAATTGATTAAAATGTCTGTTTAATTATTTAATTATTATTTAATTTATGTTTTAGCTGATGTATTTTAAAGCAGATGTACTCTTAATTGACATTGTTTTTATATGATAGGCCTGTATGTTGATGTTAAAGACATCAACTGATATGTGTGTTTTGATATAGGCTAGGATTTTATTACATTGTTTATCATTTCATTTGGACTCTGTTATCAGATCTTGCAATGTTGAAAGAATGTCTGTGTAATTGTCTACATCATGCTTGGAAAACAGTAAAAATGTCCCTTGGTTGAGCTTATATTAATCCTGTTATTTGGTAAAATCTGTGTAACATAGTTTGACTGAAGCTGCTTATGTATTTATAGATGATGTTAGACCCCTTGTTGTCACTTGAGTTACCTGCCGCCATAGCCCTCATCTTCAGTTGTGCCTGTACTACTCATGACCACTAGATGGCCACACAGCACATAATCATTTGGAAATGTATATAGGCCTATGTTAGGTACATTATTAACTGGGCCTGGGGCCCATGATTTATAACACCGCACCATTCACATTTTGTCAATACAACACTTAGCTTTAGTCCATGACCATAATGTATTTTTATCTTTGACTTAGAGAGCTATTTTCTTTGTACTTTTTAACTAAGATTGAGGTGGCGAGAGTATTGAGGGTGACTAACAGGGTAGGGGTGGATGGGGGGTATTGGGGGTGGCTAACAGGGTAGGGGTGGATGGAGGGTATTGGGGGTGGCTAAAGGTACGGAAGGGTGGGGTTGAGAGGCAGAGATGGGGGTAGAGGGTGGGGTGGAGGGTTGAGAGGCTGGGGGGAGGTAGGGGGCAGAAGGGGGAAGAAGGTCAGGTGAGTCCTCCTGAGGCAGCCTCTCCCCCAGACAGAGAGTGGTGCAGCTGTCCCCCTACCGACCAGAGATGTAAAGAAGAAAGAAAACCATCATCTGTTAACATGAAGAAGAAGACGAGAGAAGGAGAGAGGGAGGGAAGGAGATACTTGTAGCAGCTCTAGTAGAATTGTCTGAAAACATGAAAAAGAAAAGAGGAGAAAAGAGGGAGGAGAGGGGAGGGAAAGAGGTGTGGATGTTCTTTCTTGCCTTCAGTGGCCAGAGCATTGCTGCACTGTGACACAGTGCAGATGAAAGAGAGTGTTTCTACCATAGAGTGCCAACCCAAACTAGTCTACAGTATAAACATTCTTCATCTGAACAGCACAGCGAGTGGGCAGCCTGGAACACAGAGGTTGCTTCCCAAATGGCACCCCCTCCCTACTGCCTGTGGTCAAAAGCAGTGGTGGAAAAAGTACCCAATTATCATACTTGAGTAAAAGTAAAGATACCTTAATAGAAAATGACTCAAGTGCAGGTCACCCAGTAAAATACTACTTGAGTAAAAATCTAAAAGTATTTGGTTTTAAATATACTTAAGTATCAAAAGTAAATGTAATTGCTAAAATATACTTAAGTATCAAAAGTAAAAGTATAAAATCCTTATATTAAGCAAACCAGACGGCACCATTTTCTTGTTTTTTTATTGATTTACGGATAGCCAGGGGCACACTCCAACATTCACACGATTTACAAACAAAGTATGTGTTTAGTGAGTCCGCCAGATCAGAGGCAGTGGAGATGACCAGGGATGTTCTCTTGATAAGTGTGTGAATTAGACCATTTTCCTGTCCTGCTAAGCATTCAAAATGTAACGAGTACTTTTGGGTGTCAGGGAAAATCTATGGAGTGAAAAGTACATTATTTTCTTTAGGAATGTAGTGAAGTAAAAGTAAAAGTTGTCAAAAATATGAATAGTAAAGTAAAGCACAGATAACCCAAAAAACGTGTGTATTAAGTGTGTTTAAAAGGTTTGATAATATTCTGGGTCGGTAGTGCAGCTGTCCTGTGGCATCACACTGGGTGACTGGGACACACTGCTGCTGAGCTGCCAGGGGATTTCTTACATAGCTCCCTCTAGAGGTGGGAGTGAGAAGGGTGGGGAAGACTACACACATCAGGGCCCTCATGGCAGATTCATGGTCTGTTTAAAGGGATAGGGTGACAGGCAGATTCATGGTCTGTTTAAAGGGATGGGGTGACAGGCAAATTCTTGGTCTGTTTAAAGGGGTGGGGCTACAGGCAGATTCATGGTCTGTTTAAAGGGATGGGGGGACAGAAAGATTCATGGTCTGTTTAAAGGGATGGGGGACAGAAAGATTCATGGTCTGTTTAAAGGGATGGGGGGACAGAAAGATTCATGGTCTGTTTAAAGGGATGGGGGGACAGGCAGATTCATGGTCTGTTTAAAGGGATGAGGTGACAGAAAGATTCATGGTCTGTTTAAAGGGATGGGACAGGCAGATTCATGGTCTGTTTAAAGGAATGAGGTGACAGAAAGATTCATGGTCTGTTTAAAGGAATGAGGTGACAGAAAGATTAATGGTCTGTTTAAAGGGATGGGACAGGCAGATTCATGGTCTGTTTAAAGGAATGAGGTGACAGAAAGATTCATGGTCTGTTTAAAGGAATGAGGTGACAGAAAGATTAATGGTCTGTTTAAAGGGATGGGGTGACAGGCAGATTCATGGTCTGTTTAAAGGGATGTGGTGACAGGCAGATTCATGGTCTGTTAAAGGGGATGAGGTGACAGGCAGATTCATGGTCTGTTTAAAGGGGTGGGGTGACAGAAAGATATATGGTCTGTTTAAAGGAATGGGGTGACAGGCAGATTCATGGTCTGTTTAAAGGGATGGGGTGACGGGCAGATTCATGGTCTGTTTAAGGGGATGGGGTGACAGGCAGATTCATGGTCTGTTTAAAGGGATGTGGTGACAGGCAGATTCATGGTCTGTTTAAAGGAATGGGGTGACAGGCAGATTCATGGTCTGTTTAAGGGGATGGGGTGACAGGCAGATTCATGGTCTGTTTAAAGGGATGGGGGGACAGAAAGATTCATGTTCTGTTTAAAGGAATGAGGTGACAGAAAGTATGTGTGCCCTCAGGCCCCTACTCCACTACTACCACATATCTACAGTTCAAAATCCATGTGTACGTGTGTGTATAGTGCGTATGTTATTGTGTATGTGTATGCATGTGTCTGTGCCTATGTTTGTGTTGCTTCACAGTCCCCGCTGTTCCATAAGGTGTATTTCATCTGTTTTTTAAATCAGTTACTTGATGTGGAATAGAGTTCCATGTAGTCATGGCTCTATGCAGTACTGTGCGCCTCCCATAGTCTTTTCTGGACTTGGGGACTGTGAAGAGACCTCTTGTGGCATGTCTTGTGGGGTATGCATGGGTGTCCGAACTGTGCGACAGTAGTTCAAACAGACAGCTCGTGCATTCAACATGTCATTACCTCTCATAAATACAATTAGTGATTAAGTCAATCTCTCCTCCACTTTGAGCCAGGAGAGATTGACATGCATATTATTAATATTAGCTCTCTGTGTACATCCAAGGGCCAGCCATGCTGCCCTGTTCTGAGCCAATTGCAATTTTCCTAAGTCCCTTTTTATGGCACCTGACCACACGACTGAACAGTAGTCCAGGTGCGACAAAACTAGGGCCTGTAGGACCTGCCTTGTTGATAGTGCTGTTAAGAAGGTAGAGCAGCGCTTTATGGACAGACTTCTCCCCATTTTGGCTACTGTTGTATCAATATGTTTTGACCATGACAGTTGACAGTCCAGGATTACTCCAAGCAGTTTAGTCACCTCAACTTGCTCAATTTCCACATTATTTATTACAAGATTTAGTTGAGGTTTAGGGTTTAGTGAATGATTTGTCCCAAATACAATGCTTTTAGTTTTAGAAATATTTAGGACTAACTTATTCCTTGCCACCCACTCTGAAACTAACTGCAGCTCTTTGTTAAATGTTGCAGTCATTTCAGTTGCTGTAGTAGCTGACATGTATGGTGTTAAGTCATCCGCATACATAGACACACTGGCTTTACTTATTAGTAAAGATTGAAAAAAGTAAGGTGCCTAGACAACTGCCCTGGGGAATTCCTGATTCTACCTGGATTATGTTGGAGAGGCTTCCATTAAAGAACACCCTCTGTGTTCTGTTATACAGCTAACTCTTTATCCACATTATAGCAGGAGGTGTAAAGCCATAACACAAATACGTTTTTCCAGCAGCAGACTATGATCGATAATGTCAAAAGCCACACTGAAGTCTAACAAAACAGCCCCCACAATCTTTTAATCATCAGTTTCTCTCAGCCAATCTTCAATCATTTGTGCAAGTGCTGTGCTTGTTGAATGTCCTTCCCTACAAGCATGCTGAAAGTTTGTTGTCAATTTGTTTACTGTAAAATAGCATTGTATCTGGTCAAAGACCATTTTTTCCAAAAGTTTACCAAGGGTTGGTAACAGGCTGATTGGTCGGCTATTTGAGCCAGTTAAGGGGGCTATACTATTCTTAGGTAGCGGAATTACTTTTGCTTCCCTCCAAGCCTGGGGGCACACATTTTCTAGTAGGCTGAAATTGAAAATATGGCAAATAGGAGTGGCAATATCATCCGATAATTTTCCATCCAAGTTACCAGACCCCGGTGGCTTGTCATTGTTGATAGACAACAATACTTTTTTCACCTCTTCCACACTCACTTTACGGAATTCAAAATTACAAACTTGTCTTTCATAATTTGGTCAGATAGACTTGGATGTGTAGTGTCAGCATTTGATGCTGTCATGCCTAAGTTTGCTAATCTTGCCAATGAAAAAATCATTAAAGTAGTTGGCAATATCAGTTGGTTTTGTGATGAATGAGCCATCTGATTCAATGAATTATGGAGCTGAGTTTGCGTTTTTTCCCAAAATTTCATTTAAGGTTCTCCAAAGCTTTTTACTATCATTCTTCATGTCATTTATCTTTGTTTCATAGTGTAGTTTCTTGTTCTTTTTATTCAGTTTAGTCACATGATTTCTCAATTTGCAATACGTTTGCCAATCGGTTGATCCAATGGATCTGGATACTGCTTTTAAGCAAATTTCTGCAGCATTAGTAAAGATATGCTCAGTACATGTTGATGATTTCATTCCTGTGCTGTTTGTAACTACCCTGGTAGGTTGACTGATAACCTGAACCAGGTTGCAGGCACTAGTTACAGTTTGAAGCTTTATCTTGAGTGGGCAGCTTGATGAAAGCCATTCTTGGTACACATGGGAAACTGTTGAACACATGCTTCGTTTGTAAATTATGTCTGAGTGATGGAGCTATCCCTGGCTATCCGTAAATTAAAATAAACAAGAAAATGTTGCGTGTGGAATTTGAAATGATTTATACTTTTACTTTTGATACTTAAATATATTTTAGCAATTGTATTTACTTTTGATATTTCCAACCAAATACTTTCAGACTTTTACTCAAGTAGTATTTTCCTGGGTGACTTTCACTTTTACTTGAGTCATTTTCTGTTATGGTATCTTTACTTTTACTGAAGTATAACAATTGGGTACTTTTTCCACCACTGCCTGGCACCTACTACTATACTCCGTTCACAGGCAGACTTTTACTTTGTTTACAAACAGTGGGGTAAAACATGCTTAGATTTGGAGTTCTGATGGGGTACGACAGTTGAACTAAGCTCAAGAATCAATGGTTACATATCATTAATTCACAAGTCCAAAAATGTATGTAGCAACTGCAGATTGCCCCTTTAACATTACTGATGACTGTTGACAGCAGTTGTAAATACATTTGTTTATTTCAAAATGTAGCTAAAGCAAACCTGTGGGAAGACTTGCCATAAAGAGTGTGTGTGACCTCCTCTCCCTCCCAGATATAGCTAGGTCAGTGTTCTTCCTCCTCCAGTCCAGGTTGAGGAGGTTGCTACCTGTCTTCGAGGATGCGCTGACCAATTGGCAAGTGTCTTCACTGACATTTTCAACATGTCCCTGACTGAGTCTGTAATATCAACATGTTTCAAGCAGACCACCATAGTCCCTGTGCCCAAGAACACTAAGATAACCTGCCTAAATGACCACCGACCCGTAGCACTTTGAAAGGCTGGTCATGGCTCAAATCAACACCATTATCCCAGAAACCCTAGACCCACTCCAATTTGCATACCGCCCCAACAGATCCACAGATGATGCAATCTTTATTGCACTCCACACTGCCCTTTCCCACCTGGAAAGAGGAACACCTACGTGAGAATGCTATTCATTGACTACAGCTCAGCGTTCAACACCATAGTGCCCTCAAAGTTCATGACTAAGCTAAGGACCCTGGGACTAAACACCTCCCTCTGCAACTGGATCCTGGACTTCCTGACGGGCCGCCCCCAGGTGGTAAGGGTAGGTAACAGCACATCTGCCACGCTGATCATCAACACGGGGGCCCCTCAGGGGTGCATGCTCAGTCCCCTCCTGTACTCCCTGTTCAGCCATGACTGCATGTCCAGGCACGACTCCAACACCATCATTAAGTTTGCCAACGACACAACAGTGGTAGGCCTGATCACAGACAACGATGAGACAACCTATAGGGCGGAGGTCAGAGACCTGACCGTGTGGTGCCAGGATAACAACCTCTCCCTCAACATGATCAAGACAAAGGAGATGATTGTGGACTACAGGGAAAAAAATTGGACTTATTGACGGGGCTGTAGTGAACAGGTTGAGAGCTTCAAGTTCATGGTCCAAACACACCAAGAAAGTCATGAAGAGGGCACGACAAAGCCTATTCCCCCTCAGGAGACTGAAAAGATTTGGCATGGGTCCTCAGATCCTCAAAAAGTTATACAGCTGCACCATCGAGAACATCCTGACTGGTTGCATCACCGCCTGGTATGGCAACTGCTCGGCCTCCGACCGCAATGCACTACAGAGGGTAATGCGTACGGCCCAGTACATCACTGGGGCCAAGCTTCCTGCCATCCAGGACCTCTATACCAGGCAGTGTCAGAGTAAGGCCCAAAAAATTATCAAAGACTCCAGCCACCCTAGTCATAGACTGTTCTCTCTGCTACCGCACGGCAAGCGGTACCGGAGCGCCAAGTCTAGGTCCAAAAGGCTTCTTAACAGCTTCTACCTCCAAGCCATAAGACTCCTGAACAGCTAATCATGGCTACCCGGACTCATTTGCACACGCTAGCAAGGTATGTCAATTGACGGGGCCATACTCACTGGTGTACAGTGTCAATTTCTGATAATAATCACACAAATCACTAGTCTGGTCCCAGACCTGTTTGTGCTATCTTGCCAACTCCTGCGGTCATTGTCAGTTGGCAAGACAGCTCAAACAGATCTAGGACCACACTCTTAGAAAAAAAGGTTATTCGGCCGTCCCCATAGACGGGTTGGTTGTTTAGCAACTATGCGGCAAAACTGACAGGGTTGGCTTAGATTGTTGACAACATGTAAAATATATTTTGTCTCCAATATTTATTGAAAACATAAATAAGTTTACACAATGAGCACTTGTTGTCTCTCAAAAACATCGTTACAGTTGTTGGTTAGCTAGCTAGGGAATTTTAGCCATATTAGCATAGACGTGACATCAGTCAAAACACCTCAAAACAAGACATGGTGTCAAAAACAAGATACAACTAGCTGAAACGAGCCACCTACTATTCCCACATAGTAGCTTTTGTCATTGTTGCTGGCTATCTGGCTATCCAGAATCACAACAACACACAGACTTTTGCCCCATTGAAGCGTGTATATCGTTTTCGTGACGTTGTCAGCTAACCCGTCTATAGGATAACCCTTTTTGGTTTCAGGTAGAACCCTTTTGGTTTTCATGTAGAAGCCTCTGTGGAAAGTGTTCTACATGGAACCCAAAAGGGTTTTACCTGGAACCAAAAGTGTTCTACATGGAACCAATAAGGGTTCTTCAAAGGGTTCTCCTATGGGGACAGCCGAAGAACCCTTTTAGGTTCTAGATAGCACATTTCTTTGCTAAGAGTAAAGTCTAACAAATCACTGTGTTTTGAAGACCCCCATGTTGACAATATTCTTCTCTATGTTCACAGAGTTTTGAAGATGTGCGCTCCAAGTGTATCTGTCCACCCTACAGGAACATCACTGGACACATCTACGACAGGAATGTCTCCCAGAAAGATTGGTGAGAGATGTTCTATCACATAGGCCCTATGCACATTATGCAGTATTCACAATCTGGTCTTCCTCAGTCGGTCATTTTCGTTCGCTCCTGTTGTCTTCCACAGTACATTTAACTAGTTCTGACAAGGAGCTGTGGATTTAAGGTTCCCCCACTCACACAATTTGCTGATCGATGTCTTTCTAGTTCATTGTAGTTCTGGAAAGAATGAATAAAAGTGTCAGGCTTACGTCTTGGACTAACATAGATGTAGTAGATGAATAACAAGAGACCAATTGTCATACCCTGATCTGTTTCACCTGTCTTGTGCTTGTCTCCAATCCCCTCCAGGTGTCACCCATTTTCCCCATTATCTCCTGTGCATTTATACCTGTGTTTTCTGTTTGTCTGTTGCCACCATTGGAAGACACAAGGAGTTACTTCACAACCTTATGGAAGGATTCCAGACCTTGGCGGAACGCCACGACCGTGCTTTCCATACATTGCTGGGGCAAGTCAGCAGATTGTCTATTAGCCAGCCACTACCGTAATTCCACAGACACTCAGCAACCCCGCCCCCAGTGGCGCTTCTTCCCAGCCTACCCCGGTGTTCCGAGAACCTTGCACTCCTCCTCCGGAGCGCTATGCTGGAGATTCTGGAACCTGCCAGGCTTTTCTCTCCCAGTTCTCCCTTCGTTCCCCTCGGGCCGCTCGAAGATAGCGTACCTCATAACGCTGATGTCAGGGAGGGCACTCACCTGGGCTACGGCGGTGTGGGAGCAACAGTCCACCGTTTGCCTCAGTCTGGAGGAGTTTGTGGCGGAGGTACGAAAAGTGCTAGATTCTCTGTTGTCTGGGAGAGAGGTTGCTCGTAAGCTGCTCCAACTACGTCAAGACTCCCGAAGTGTTGCACCCTCTCCATGACATCCTGCTGTGGGGTGACCAGTTCAAATCTCTCCCGGTACTCATTGACTCTGGGGCCGACGAGAGTTTTATGGACGCTACCTTGGTGTCAGAGTTGGGAATCCCCACTCAAACCCTCTCCATTCCCACGGACATCAGAGCACTGGATGGGCATTCTATTGTCAGAGTCACCCACAACACGGTTCCCATCAACCTGCGAGTGTCAGGCAACCACAGCGAGTCGATCCAGTTTCTACTTATCGAATCCCCTCAGGTACCCGTTGTGTTGGGGTTTTCATGGCTCCATAGACACATTCCCCTTGTGGACTGGACTGTGGGTTCGATCAAGGGTTGGAGCCCGTTCTGCGACGCTCATTGCCTGAAGTCGGCGCAGCCTTCCCCGGGACAACTTCCTGCGGGCTTGGGTAAGGTCACGGACCTCTCCGCCGTTCCTGCCGAATACCAGGACCTCTTTGAGGTTTTCAGCAAGGCCCGTGACACCTCGCTTCCTCCACATTGGCCCTATGACTGCGCCATCGACCTTCTACTGGGCACTACACCGCCTCGGGGGTACCTTTATTCCCTGTTGGGTCCGGAGACCAAGGCGACGGAAACGTACATTGAGTGCTCCCTGGCTGCAGGGTGTATCTGTCCTTCTGCCTCCCCCACTGGCGCAGGGTTCTTCTTTGTGTGCCAGGTGATGCTATTCAGACTGACCAACGCTCCTGCAGTGTTCCAGGCCCTGGTTAACGATGTTCTACATGTTGAACCGGTTCGCGTTTGTCTACCTCGATGACGTTCTCGTTTTTTCCCATTCGGCTCAAGAACATGTCCGACAAGTCCTCCAGCGTCTTCTGGAGAACCATCTGTTCGTCAAAGTGAATTCCATCGCTCCACCATCTCCTTCCTTGGATACATCATCGCTGCGGGCAACCTACAGATGGATCCTGGAAAGGTGAGAGGGGTGGTGGATTGGCCTCAAACCACCTCCAGAGTGCAGCTGCAAAGCTTCTTGGGGTTCGCCAAGGTCCCGTTCACGTGGTCTCCAGCTGCAGACCGGACGTTCTTGGACCTCAAGCACCGATTCACGACCACCCCATCCTAATCCATCCGGATCCGTCCTGGCAGTTCGTGGTGGAGGTCGACGCCTCGGATGTCGGAGTGGGGTCTGTCCTGTCCTGTCCCAGCGTTCGGCCCAAGACCAAAAGCTGCATCCCTGTGCTTTCCTCTCCCACTACTACTCGCGGTGAAGATTGCGTTGGAGGAGTGGAGGCACTGGTTAGAGGGGGCGGAATAACCTTTCATTGTGTGGATGGGTCACAAGAACCTGGAATATCTCCGCATTGCCAAGTGCCTCAACTCCAGGCAAGCTCGATGGGCCCTGCTATTCATTCGGATCAACTTCACCATCTCCTACCGCCGGGGTCCAAGAATGTGAAGCCGAATGCGCTTTCACACCTCTATAGCCCCGCTGCTACACCATCAGACCCCAAGAACATCCTCCCTACCTCTTGTCTCACGGCTGCACTCGTTTGGGGTATAGAGAACCACAGCCTTCCCAGCCGGACCCCAGGGGGGCCCGGTTAACCTGATGTTTGTCCCGGACTCTGCCCGTTCCCCGGTTCTGGAATGGGCTCATTCCTTCCGACTGGTCTGACATCCTGGCTCTCGTCGGACCCTGGCCTTTGTACAACGATGGCCTTTGTACAACAATGTATTTGGTGGCGCACCTTGGTTCCTGACGTCTCCGCATTCGTTGCCGCCTGCACCACATGTGCTCAGAATAAAACTCTGCGGCAAGCAACGGCTGGCCTCCTTCAACCTCTTCCCATTCCTCATTGCCCCTTGTCCCATATATCCCTGGACTTTGTCACGGGTCTCCCTCCATCAGATGGCAACACCACTATCCTCACGGTGGTGGATAAGTTTTTCGAAGCCGCACACTTCATTCCCCTTCCCAAGTTACCCTCAGCCAAGGAAACGGCCCAGCTCATGGTGCAGCCCGTCTTCCGGTAGACATGGTCTCCGATCGCGGTCCTCAGTTCTCGTCCCGGTTCTGGAAGGCGTTCTGCACCCTTGGGGCATCGGCCAGCTTGTCCTCCGGTTTTCACCCCCAATCTAACAGCCAGTCGGAGCGAGCCAATCAGGACCTGGAGACGACTCCTCGTTGCCTCGTCTCCGCCAACCCCACCACCTGGAGCCAGACACTCGTGTGGGTGGAATACGCCCGCAACACCCTTCCCTCCTCAGCCACTGGACTCTCGTCTTTCGAGTGTTCTATGGGATATCAGCCCCCACTCTTCCCTGAGCAAGAGGAAGAGGTCAGCATACCCTCGTCCCAGATGTTCGTCCGCCACTGTCGCCGTACCTGGAAGAGAGCCCGGTCTGCTCTTCTCAAGACCACCTCCAAGTATCGACGACAGGCGGACCGCCACCAGACCCCCGGCTCCCGGTTATCGTCTCAGGCAGAGGGTATGGCTGTCCACTCGGGATCTGCCCCTCCGGGTGGAGTCCCGCAAACTTTCCCCCCGTTTTATCGGCCCTTTCCCCATCTCTAAGATTCTCAGTACCCGCTGCTGTTCGTCTTCTGTTGCCCCGCACCCTCCGTATACATCCCACTTTTCATGTATCAAGGATTAAACCTCTGTCTCACAGCCCTCTGTCTCCACTTTCCTGCCGTCCTGTACCTATCTGACTCTGACCTGGTTTACGAAATTCTGCCTGCCCTGACCCTGAGCCTGCCTGCCGTTCTGTACCTTATTGACTCTGCCCTGGATTACTGACCTCTGCCTGCCCTTGACCTGTCGTTTGCCTGCACCCTGTTTTGTAATAAACATCTCTGATTCGAACTGTCTGCATCTAGGTCTTATCCTGAGTCCTGATACTAATTATTTATGATGTGTGTACTTTTGTCCATGCTCAGTAACTGCCTCCATGTAGTGGAGCCCATGCCAGTGCAGGGCCATGATGTGGAGGCCTACTGTCTGCTGTGTGAGTGCAAGTATGAGGAACGCAGCAGCAACACCATCAATGTATTACTGACCCTTTACAATGACACACAGAGTTGATTTCAACTGATATTACCTGGTAAAAATGGACAGGTTTTAATGCTAAAAAGACTATGGTATAAGGAAGGAGTATGATATTCAAGAAGTTACATCCATTACTAAAGGAACAGATTGACTGGCTATCCATACAGCAGACACTCCCCTCCGTATTTATTTGGATTTAAATGTGGCTCTATACCCCAACATTTTGGATTTGAGATTTTTTTTACATTATATGAGGCGACAGTACAGAATGTCACCTTTAATTTAAGGATATGTTCATACATATCTGTTTTAGTGTTGCACAGTATACCAGTACCACGGTAATATCACGGTACCAAAACGTCATGATACTTATGATACCAACATTTTAGAATACCGTAGTACCGTTTCATAAGATACTACCACATCTTTCAGCCCTATTGATTCACTCAGCCTCTGAGTGCCAGAGAGGAAAAATGGAGCACAGCTTCGCGACAGGCATGCTTACAGCTTTACAACAATGAAAATGTCTCTAGCCCATTCAAAACATATGGCCCATATTACGGAGCTACCTTTTTTCAATCTGTCGCGGATTTTCTCACATTTTATATAATTTCGCAAACCATGTCGCGGGCTGTTTTAAACTAATCCCGGGCCACTAATTATTGGTTTGATAATAAACAACCTTGTTCAGTCATGTGTTTCAGATTATATTTTTCTAAATAGGAACTGAATGGTGGAGAATGTATTGTGTCATTTTGGAGTCACTTTTATTGTAAATAAGAATAGAATATGTTTCTAAACACTTCTACATTAATGTGGATGCTACCATGATAACGGATAATCATGAATGAATCGTGAAAAATTATGATCATACCCACAAAATCATGAATAAAGACCATACGTTACCGCTAAAGAAATGCTAACCTCTCACTATTACCAATAATACTTTATGGGGGGTATGATATTTGTGCCTCTAACTTTCTCATTAATCTTTATTCACAATTCATTCATGATTATTCCTAACCATGGTAGCATCCACATTGATGTAGAAGTGTTCAGAAACATATTATATTCTTATTTACAATCAAAATGACTCCAAAATGACAGAATACATTTTTCACTATTAAGTTCCTATTGGGCAAAACATAATCCGAAACACAAACAAAACAAACAGCATATGCATCCAAGAAGTTTGTAGTGTCACAAGCTTGATGTAGTCATCGCGTGCTAGGAATATGGGACCAAATACTAAACTTTTGACTACGTTAATACACTATAAGAGAATTGTGCTTTCATTTCTAAGCAGTAAAACAGATACAGATGTAGGATCTTAATTTGACCAGTATTGTCTTTGCAAAATAATCCTGCAGCAATAGGATTTGAACCTTTTGTCCATAATGTGCTTGATCAGTGGTTAAACTATTAGCTAGACAAAAGTAGACTTTATGAAAGTGCAGTGCTGTTAATATAACCTTGGTTTAGTGTAGGTTTTCAGTGAATTTATGCGGTGTAGGAAAATTGTCAGCAACAAAAGTGATCAAATTAAGATCATACAGTGCCTTGCAAAAGTATTCATCCCCCTTGGCATTTTTCCCTATTTTGTTGCATTACAACCTGTAATTTAAATGGATTTTTATTTGAATTTCATGTAATGGACATACACAAAATAGTCCAAATTGGTGGACCTGCCAAGAGAGGGCCGCCCACCAAAACTCACGGACCAGGCAAGGAGGTATTGACTTTGGGGGGGGTGAATAGTTATGCACGCTCAAGTTTTCTGTTTTTTAGTCTTATTTCTTGTTTGTTTCACCCCAAAAAATATTTTGCATCTTCAAAGTGGTAGGCATGTTGTGTAAATCAAATGATACAAACCCCCCAAAAATCAATTTTAATTCCAGGTTATATCTGTATACCCTCAAATAAAAGGTGGCATTCTGTATTGTTGCCTATTATGAAACATTTGATATCAAAACCAAAATGCTGCAGTATAGAGACAAATTTTAACATTTTAGCTTCACTGTCCAAATAAATGAGAGAACCAGACTGAGACCATTGTGCAGAAATGCAAGTTTTTATTTAGGCCTTAATGTTCATCAGTAAAATTCCTTAGAATTTCATTAAGGTATGTGATGGCCGAATGTTGTACATTATGGCTGGCTTACTGGTAACTGATGTTTTACATTATGGCTGGCTTACTGGTAACTGATGTTTTACATTATGGCTGGCTTACTGGTAACTGTAAGTGTAGTAGAAGGTTCCACTACTCAGACCGCAGGTTACGCTGTGACTGCCAGACTTGAGCTCAGTGGTGCAGGTTCCCAGGTGGTCATCGAAGTTTAGGTCCTTGTCCCAGATCTCAAACTTCAAGGAAGCACTGGATGGCACATTCAGAAAGCTGAATACGGCACTCCAGGATGGATTATGAGTATCCTTGTGCCAGTCTGTCATGCCACCGGATTCGCCACCACACCAAACCTTGACATAGGGGTCAGGGTAATTACCAGCAATGTCCCCTTTAAGGCCGCTGGCATGAAGGCCGGACACTCTGACGTTTGCACCATGGACGCCAGCCAGCATACAGAGAAACAGCAGTCCCAGAGAGAGGGAGGCCATGACTTTCAAAAGGGGAAAGCAAACTAAGAGAGGGAAAAAATAGAGAAGAGGAGATACAACACTAACAGTCTTCAGAGAAGAGGAGATACAACACTAACAGTCTTCAGAGAAGAGGAGATGCAACACTAACAGTCTTCAGAGAAGATCTCTATTTGCACATAATCTCTTGCACATCTAGCATTCCAGTGTTAATACTATTGTAATTCTTTTGCACTATAGCCTATTTATTGCCTTACCTCCATAACTTGCTACATTTGCACACACTGTATATATATTTTCTGTTGTATTTTTGACTTTATGTTTTTTACCCCATATGTAACTCTGTGTTGTTTTTATTGCACTGCTTTGCTTTATCTTGGCCAGGTCGCAGTTGTAAATGAGAACCTGTTCTCAACTGGCTTACCTGGTTAAATAAAGGTGGAGGAAAAAATAAATAAAAAAGATGAGATACAACACTAACAGTCTTCAGAGAAGAGGAGATACAACACTAACAGTCTTCAGAAGAAGAAAAATACAAATTAAGTCAGAAAAAGAGATGAAGGACAGGCATTATGTCAATTTTCAAGTTAATCATTTTGTTAGTGGTACAATATGCAAAATGCTATAAAGTACACTTGTTACAGGACTCATAAAAACTATAAGAAGATGAGAATGGAGTAGATCTTACCTGTGCTATGTAGAGTCTGGAGACAAGTGTCTGTATCTCAGGGGAACCAACCACTGATGTTTTTTCCTACGCCCAATCGCTGTTTATAAATACTTAATCGGGTAACCCACAGATGGTCTGTTCTCAGTGATGCCTCAACCAATGAGAGCACATGGAGGCAGCAGCACCTACAGTACAAGTGTTAAATGTTAACCTTTAATGCTGATTAAACGACGGCCAGGCTTTTGACCAATAAGGCAATTCCAAGTGGCAAATTTAGACAAACAGAACTTGGCATCATCTCAGGGTTGTTGGCATCATCTCAGTTACCACCTGCCCTTGAGCCACTTAACCCCCAACCTGCTCCAAGCGCTGCTCTGTGCCATGTGCAGCACTGGGTCAGCCACAGAGCATCACCTCTGGAGCAGGTTAAGGGTTAAGTGGTCTGCTCAAGGCCCCTCTGAGTAGGTGGCACCTGTTTTCGACAAATATCATAATTATGTCATGTATACATACATTTCTATTGTGTTGTCTATTCTACACTGAACATAAATATCAACACAACATGTAAAGTGTGGGTCCCATGTTTCATGGGCTGAAATAGAAGATCCCAGAAATGTTCCATACGCACAACAAGCTTATTTATCTCAAATTTTGGGCACAACTTTGTTACGTCCCCATTTCTCCTTTGCCAAGATAATCCATCCACCTGACAGGTGTGACATATCAAGAAGCTGATTAAACAGCATGATCATTACACAGGTGCACCTTGTGCTGGGGACAGTAAAAGGCCACTCTTAAGTTTTGTCACACAACACAATGCCACAGATGTCTCAAGTTTTGAGGGAGCGTGCAATGTTATTTCTGTTCAGTGTATAAATAACAAATAATATGTGAAATATCCCCCTCCTTTTTAGATACATCCTTCCTTTCCTCTCTTTGTACCCTGCATGTTTTACTTGTCAAATGTTTGCCTTTGCATTTCAAAAAGCAGCCAAAGGCTTTGTCTCCCGAACTTTAATCCAAGCTACATTTATTTTCCATCCCCCCCAGGTGACGATCATCATCTACCTGTCAGTGGTGGGCTCTCTGCTACTCTACATGTTGTTCCTGCTGCTGGTTGAACCTATCAACCGTAAACATGACCCCTACATCCAACCCCTTCACAACGAGGAGGACTCTGAGGTAAATGAACAGATATACACCACACAGAGGAAAAACACTGGGGTTGGTAGGTGAAGATATTGTCTCTGCTTCTTAACATCTGCAACACAATGTTACGTCTGTCGGGAGGCTGTGGGATGTGAGGGTTATGAGGAACAATTCTACTGGTTTGCTGGTTTTTGCGTCACTGATTAACAGGTGTGTGTAACGTCTTGTACACACACTGACTCTCTCTCTCTCTCTCTCTCTCTCTCTCTCTCTCTCTCTCGCTCCTCGTTTTCCTACTTACAGAGCATGTAGAGGTCTGTAATTTTTATCATAGGTACACTTCAACTGTGAGAGACGGAATCTAAAACAAAAATCCAGAAAATCACATTGTATGATTTTTAAGTAATTAATTTGCATTTTATTGCATGACATAAGTATTTGATACATCAGAAAAGCAGAACTTAATATTTGGTACAGAAACCTTTGTTTGCAATTACAGAGATCATACGTTTCCTGTAGGTCTTGACCAGGTTTGCACACACTGCAGCAGGGATTTTGGCCCACTCCTCCATACAGACCTTCTCCAGATCCTTCAGGTTTCGGGGCTGTCGCTGGGCAATAGGGACTTTCAGCTCCCTCCAAAGATTTTCTATAGGGTTCAGGTCTGGAGACTGGCTAGTCCACTCCAGGACCTTGAGATGCTTCTTACGGAGCCACTCCTTAGTCGCCCTGGCTGTGTGTTTCGGGTCGTTGTCATGCTAGAAGACCCAGCCACGACCCATCTTCAATGCTCTTACTGAGGGAAGGAGGTTGTTGGCCAAGATCTCGCGATACATGGCCCCCTCCATCCTCCCCTCAATACGGTGCAGTCGTCCTGTCCTCTTTGCAGAAAAGCATCCCCAAAGAATGATGTTTCCACCTCCATGCTTCACGGTTGGGATGGTGTTCTTGGGGTTGTACTCATCCTTCTTCTTCCTCCAAACACGGCGAGTGGAGTTTAGACCAAAAAGCTATATTTTTGTCTCATCAGACCACATGACCTTCTCCCATTCCTCCTCTGGATCATCCAGATGGTCATTGGCAAACTTCAGACGGGCCTGGACATGTGCTGGCTTGAGCAGGGGGACCTTGTGTGCGCTGCAGAATTTTTTCCATGACGGCGTAGTGTGTTACTAATGGTTTTCTTTGAGACTGTGGTCCCAGCTCTCTTCAGGTCATTGACCAGGTCCTGCCGTGTAGTTATGGGCTGATCCCTCACCTTCCTCATGATCATTGATGCCCCACAAGGTGAGATCTTGCATGTAGACCCAGACTGAGGGTGATTGACCGTCATCTTGAACTTCTTCCATTTTCTAATAATTGTGCCAACAGTTGTTTCCTTCTCACCAAGCTGCTTGCCTATTGTCCTGTAGCCCATCCCAGCCTTGTGCAGGTCTACAATTTTATCCCTGATGTCCTCACACAACTCTCTGGTCTTGGCCATTGTGGAGAGGTTGGAGTCTGTTTGATTGAGTGTGTGGACAGGTGTCTTTTATACAGGTAACGAGTTCAAACAGGTGCAGTTAATACAGGTAATGAGTGGAGAACAGGAGGGCTTCTTAAAGAAAAACTAACAGGTCTGTGAGAGCCGGAATTCTTATTGGTTTCTAGGTGATCAAATAATTATGTCATGCAATAAAATGCAAACTAATTACTTAAAAATCATACAATGTGATTTTCTGGATTTTTGTTTTATATTCCGTCTCTCACAGTTGAAGTGTACCTGTGATAAAAAATTACAGACCTCTACATGCTTTGTAAGTAGGAAAACCTGCAAAATCGGCAGTGTATCAAATACTTGTTCTCCCCACTGTATATAAAAAATATAAAAATAAAATATCATGAGTGTGAACCTGGCCAGTCCACCGGAGGACTCCTTCTTTTTGGAGTGGGACGGCATCTCAGAACAACAGGTGAGTTAGCTTGAATTGTGTTGAATAACGTAACAGAATAATGTGATTACATGACAAATGTCATGGTACATCTAGATGGAGCCTCAGTGAAAGACATGTAAAGTGAATAATCTCTCTGGGTTTCTGCTCCGCGTGTACTCCTGCTGCTGTGTGTAAACAGAGGAGGACCAGTCGGTCTATAAAATACCTCGACATGTCAACGCATCGTACCGCTCCCCCTTATGGAATGAAAACTCCTATTATAAAAAAACACATTCTTGCAGGATGAGTGGTACGTTATGAAATAAGTTATAAAATACATGTATAAAACACTAAACTTACTAAATCAAATATCTACAAAAGACATACTCTTTATTAACACTTAACCTAAGTCATACGAAACACACCTACTCATTCAAGGGTTTTTCTTTATTTTTACTATTTTCTACATTATAGAATAATAGTGAAGACATCAACACTATGAAATAAAACATATGGAATTATGCTGTAACAAAAAAAGATTGTGCAAAGCTGTCATCAAGGCAAAGGGTGGCTACTTTGAAGAATCTAAAATATATTTTGATTTATTTAACACTTTTTGGTTACTACATGATTCCATGTGTTATTTCATAGTTTTGATGTCTTCACTATTATTCTACAATGTAGAAAATAGTAAAAATAAAGAAAAACCCTTGAATGAGTAGGTGTGTCCAAACTTTTGACTGGTACTGTATATTAAAATGTATGCAAGTCACTCTGGATAAGAGCGTCTGCTAAATGACTAAAATGTAATACATGGGCTAAACCTACTACGAACACAAATACACAATTAGAACAAACAAGTTCAAAAATAGTTGTTTTTATTAACTGAAAATAATCAATACAATGTCAATGGAATACACAACATTTCTGAAGCAGGATTGACCCATAACTGGAGTAACCCCATATGTCTTGGACTGATTTAAAACAAATGCCGGGGGACACTTTCAAAGCCACTATCAAAAGCAGACATTACTTCCCCAAGTCAATGGTACTTAGCTACTCATAACTCTATCACCTAAATACATTTGTGCTAGAAACAGATGTACCTAGACGTGCTAGAAACAGATGTACCTAGACGTGCTAGAAACAGATGTACCTAGACGTGCTAGAAACAGATGTACCTAGACGTGCTAGAAACAGATGTACCTAGACGTGCTAGAAACAGATGTACCTAGACGTGCTAGAAACAGATGTACCTAGACGTGCTAGAAACAGATGTACATAGACGTGCTAGAAACAGATGTACCTAGACGTGCTCGAAACAGATTATTACCAAAGCCTTAGGTAATAAATCATTGCTTTTCATTATAATTTTAAAGTGATGTCACCTCTATTTAGGTGATAGAATTATATGGATCACCCTAATGGAGTTTCATTATTATCTCATGACAGTTTGTAATGTACCCAATGCAATTAAAGATCATTAAACAGTACTGATTTACCACGTATTAGGCTCACAGCGTCTGCTAAAACCAACAGGTGACCTGGTTGGTAGCCTGGATCCAAACTGAATATTGTTTCACTTCACGTATATTTAATATTTCACTTCACGTCTATTTAAAATTGCACCGCTCATATTTCCATATTGTAACTATGATGTGATATACAATAACTACGGGTCCTGTGTTTTGCACAGTCATGTGACATGCCTGGATTTTAACCTTTATTTAAAGCTTTTTCATCAAACTGTCCCCTTTTCTTTTCATGTCAGATCGTGCTGCACCATCCTCAGACAATTGTTTTCATTTTTGGTGTAATTCTCATTTCTGGAAAAGGCTTAAAATACAGGAAAACATCTTGCTATGTCACATGATAGCGCAAAACACAAGGCCCAAATGTGCCTCTGCTCTCTTCTCCCTTTCATCCACATCAACCTCTACAGTTTCTCCATCTCCAACACTGAGAAAGGTATTATAGTGTTTTTCTCCAACACTGCAAAGGTATTTCCTTGGGTTGTTTTTCTTTATGGTTGTACATTGTACAAATACTTATTTTTGATGCCATTCCTGTTGGTGAAACCAACTGTAGCCATTCCTGACTTGACACTACACTTCATCTTAGGCAAAAGGCAGAGAAATTACAACCATAGCCATTGCTGACATTGAAACACATCGTGAAAAAATTTATACAACCGGAACAACTCAGTTTGGATCCAAGCTAGTTAGACTTGGGGGGGGGGATCAGATGACATCCGACTGGCAATGAAGTGGACACCAATTGAGACCTAAGGCTTTTCCAATTCTAAGACGAATCATATAATGAAAGTAGCACAATAAGTGAAAAATGCCCAAGCAGGCTGTACTTACCAGGATTTCAGATATATACATTTCATTGAATTAATTTAAAAGAGGAAGAAAATGGGCAGAAACAGGGAGGGACTAGCTGGACATTCATTTCCATTGTCAGTTGCAAAATGTTTTCAATGGTTTTCAGTTGCCTGCCCTAAGGAATACGACCATGGTTAAATGAGTTAAAAAGGTATGCCTGTCGTTTAATTTCGCTCCTCTCTTCCGAGTGATGTCTTGCTCGTTGAGGTTGGGTTCTACTCGTTGGGGGTTCTACTCATTGGGGTTGGCGTCAGGGTACACAGACAGGTCAAAGGTTAGTACTTTGCTGATTACGCAATCTCCTTGCTGTGGGGGGGGAAAGAGTGGTGCTGTCAGTTTTGCCCTTATTTCATAGAAAACAGCTAACACACATAGCTACATTTTATTCTCGAAAAGGGAAAGTAATGTTTTTATGTGAAAGCATTAAAAATGATTTATGGATAGGTGTGTTGCATCTTATGTGTATGCGGTGCTCGTGTGTGTGCTTTGTTGTGTCCGTGTGTGTTCATACCTCTGGATAGACCCCGATGAGCGAGTCAGCCTTGGTGTAGAACTCTTCCTTCAGAGAGATCACTATAGCCTGAGTGTTCACTGACTGGCCCTTAATGTAGTTGGCCACCTGCAGAGACATATATTAAGAGAGTTAGTATGTTGAGTTTTTCTCTAAAATGATGATGCATTTACATAACCTACATTCCATGGCATCCATGTTAGCTCCCCATGGGCAATATTGACCAATAGCAGTTCACTGAATTTTTAACAATGATAAGTACAATATTCAAAATTCTCGTCATGAATGGAACGCTCGAAGGCGCCAACATTGCATCCATTCTTAAAGTTGGCCCAACACTCTAAATATATTCCTCTGTTCACCTGTATAGATAGACAACATTAGACATAATAGCATGGTAATTACATAAGTGATGTAGTTGGCCACCTACAAAATATGGATGCACAACACATTAGACATGACAATAACATGAGGTGCGTCTGAAATGACACCCTATTTCCAACCTATCCCCTATATACACTGAGTGTACAAAACATTAAGAACACCTGCTCATTCCATGACAAACTGACCAGATGAGTCCAGGTGAAAGCTATGATCACTTATTGATGTCACTTGTTAAATCCACTTCAATCAGTGTAGATGAAGGGGAGGAGACAGGTTAAAGAAGGATTTTTAAGCCTTGACAATTGAGACATGGATTGTGTATGTGTGCCATTCAGAGGGTGAATGGGCAAGACAAATAATTAAGTGCCTTTGAACGGGGTATGGTAGTAGGTGCTAGGCGCACCGGTTGGTGTCAAGAACTGCAACGCTGCCAATTTGATACAACTGTGGGACGCATTAGTCAACATGGGCCAGCATTCCTGTGGAACGCATTCGACACCTTGTAGTCCATGCCCCGACGGGGGGGGGGGGGGGGGTGCAAATCAATATTAGGAAGGTGTTCCTAATGTTTGGTATGCTTAGTGCAGTTACAGTGGCTTGCGAAAGTATTCACCCCCCTTGGCATTTTTCCTATTTTGTTGCCTTACAACCTGGAATTAAAATGGACTTTTTGGGGGTTTGTATCATTTGATTTACACAACACGCCTACCACTTTGAAATCGCAAATTTTTTGTTTTTATTGTGAAACAAACAAGAAATAAGACAAAAAAAATAGAAAACTGGAGTGTGCATAAATATTCACCCCCCCCCAAAGTCAATACTTTGTAGAGCCACCTTTTGCAGCAATTACAGCTGCAAGTCTCTTGGGGTATGTCTCTATAAGCTTGGCACATCTAGCCACTGGGATTTGTGCCCATTCTTCAAGGCAAAACTGCTCCAGCTCCTTCAAGTTGGATGGGTTCCGCTGGTGTACAACAATCTTTAAGTCATACCACACATTCTCAATTGGATTGAGGTCTGGGCTTTGACTAGGCCATTCCAAGACATTTAAATGTTTCCCCTTAAACCACTCAAGTGTTGCTTTAGCAGTATGCTTAGGGTCATTGTCCTACTGGAAGGTGAACCTCAATCCCAGTCTCAAATCTCTGGAAGACTGAAACAGGTTTCCCTCAAGAATTTCCCTGTATTTAGCGCCATCCGTCATTCCTTCAATTCTGACCAGTTTCAGTTGAGAGGTGTTGGGTTTGCGCCAGACATTGCGTTTTCCTTGATGGCCAAAAATCTCAATTTTAGACTGATCTGACCATAGTATCTTCTTCCATATGTTTAAGGAATCTCCCACATGCCTTTTGGCGAATATCAAACGTGTTTCCTTATTTTTTTCTTTAAGCAATGGCTTTTTTTTCTGGCCACTCTTCCGTAAAGCCCAGCTCTGTAGAGTGAACGGCTTAAAGTGGTCCTATGGACAGATACTACAATCTCCGCTGTGGAGCTTTGCAGCTCCTTCAGGGTTATCTTTGGTCTTTTTGTTGCCGCTCTGATTAATGCCCACCTTGCCTGGTCCGTGAGTTTTGGTGGGCAGCCCTCTCTTGGCAGGTTTGTTGTGGTGCCATATTCTTTCCATTTTTAATAATGGATTTAAATGGTAGGATGTTCAAAGTTGCTGATATTTTTTTATAACCCAACCCTGATCTGTACTTCTCCACAACTTTGTCCCTGACCTGTTTGGAGAGCTCCTTGGTCTTCATGGTGCCGCTTGCTTGGTGGTGCACCTTGCTTAGTGGTGCTGCAGACTTTCAGAACAGGTGTATATATACTGAGATCATGTGACAGATCATGTGACACTTAGATTGCACACAGGTGGACTTTATTTAACTAATTATGTGACTTCTGAAGGTAATTGGTTGCACCAGATCTTATTTAGGGGCTTCATAGCAAAGGGGGTGAATACATATGCGCGCACCACTTTTCCGTTATTTATTTTTTTAGAATTTTTTGAAACAAGTTACTTTTTTCATTTCACTTCACCAATTTGGACTATTTTGTGTATGTCCATTACATGAAATCCAAATGAAAATCCATTTAAATGACAGGTTGTAATGCAACAAAATAGGAAAAACGCCAAGGGGGATGAATACTTTCGCAAGGCACTGTAATTAGTGCATGCACCTTAAGAATAGGGTGCCATTTTAGACTCAGACATAGGAGTTAAATAACAATTAAATAGTAAACACATATGGACATTTTACAAGATTAATAATTGTAGTTTATGCAACAGGGTTTTAGACACAGACCTTGCCAATGTTGGTGTTGTCCAGTGCAGCATCAATCTCATCCAGGACGAAGAATGGGGCAGGCTTGTAGCTGTGTATGGCGAACAGCAGAGCCAGGGCGGCAACAGTCTTCTCCCCTCCAGAGAGGTTGTCCATGGGTCTGAACCTCTTTCCAGGGGCAACACAGTTATAGTTGATCCCATCCAGGTAAGGCTCCTCAGGGTTCTCTGGCCCAAGGAAGGCCTGGGGGGGTAGACAGCAATTTAACCAATATGTACACAGAGGTGCAGCCAAATATCACAACATCCAAGAAAAAAAGTTAGTTGTCTCGCTCACAATTAAAAGCTGATGGTTTTATTTCTTTAGACTGAAAGCATAACTTTTAGTCCCTATTTTTTAACATTATTTTGAATAAGTTACATTTACATTTACAGTTAACCATGTAAAAGTCAGTCCCTGCCAAGGACACTCCATTCGACTCAACCTAATAGGGCAAAACAATGTGCTATCTGGTCACAAAGAGTGATACCTGGGCAGAGCTGTTGCGTGACAGGGCTTTGTAGATCTCATCGATGTTGGTGGATACAGCCTCAAAACAGGCATTGAAGCGGTCAAACCTCTCCTTCTTGATCTGCTCAAACGCCTGCTTGGCCTTCTTGGCTCTCTTACGGGCCGCCTCAAACTCTAGAATACAGAATACAGCATCATGAACACATTATGCAATAATGATACAATCTTTCTTGTTTCAGTAACATTGTATACATTCAGTGAGAAAGAGAGCGATTAAGTTAGCCCATGCCTCCAGACTCAAGTGTAAGCCTGGGTTCTACCTTTCTCAATTCCTCCCCCGCCCCGTCCTCCTCTGTCCCTGACAGATTCTAGTTTCTCCATGGCCTTCATGTTGGGTTCCACACCTTCCAACTAAACCCTGCCCTCCTCCTCTCCCTCTTACCGTCGCTGGTCTCCTGGAACTTGTCCCTGACAGACTCTAGTTTCTCCATGGCCTTCATGTTGGGTGCACTGATCCTCTGCAGTATGGACTGCTGTTCGTTGAGACGCTGCTGCAGTGTGTGCATCTCTGCCTTGATCTCATCCTCCACCAGCGCGTCCTGAGAGAGAGCAAACACACACACAAACAAAATAGGTGACTCAAATCCTCGTCTCACACTATTTCAAACTCGCCTAAAAACAACCCTATTGCTGGGTATTGAATCATGATTGAAACAGCTACACACAGATACAGAGTCTGATTCTATGGGGAGAGAGAAACTCCGTCCCATTTCTCCAAACATCTCCCAACTTGCACACTCCCAGACACAGCCTTAGTGTGCAGGGTTCAGGCATGTGTGTACTTCTTACCTTGAGGTCTTCAGACAGGTTGCTGTAGTCGATCTCTATGAGAGCCTCTTTAGCCAGGACAGTACTGGACGTTCTCTGACTGCTATTAGACTCATCCTGCTGGGAGCTCCCCTAGAGGGAGAGAGAGAGAACAAAGTGAGGCAGTCAGGTCGGTCGAGTCAGGTCGGTGAGAAGGAGCGAGAGAAAGAAAGAAAGAAAGAAAGAAAGAAAGAAAGAAAGAAAGAAAGAAAAAGAAAGAAAGAAAGAAAGAAAGAAAGAAAGAAAGAAAGAAAGAAAGAAAGGTGCGAGAGAGTGTGAGAGAGCGAGAAAAAGAAAGTGTGTTTAGTACCTCTCCCTGGCCGATGTCGTCCATGGTCCCAGAACGTAGCGGCAGTCTGATGTCCTGCATCTTACAGGCCTGCAGCAGGTTGTGGCGGTCGCTGCGTTTCTGCTCCAGCTTGGTTTCAATGGCCGTCACCTCTTTCTGCAGCTGGGTCAGCTCCCTGAGGGAATAATACACATTGGTCAAACAATACTGCCGCAAACTACAATGCTACAAACTACTAGCCATCTTTCGGAGTCAGTTCGCTGAGGTAAACACAAGCACACACAGTTGTCAAACACTGAAACAAAATGTCAATGCTACAAATGTTATTTTTTCTTAGAAACACATAAATAAAGCAATGTAGTAAGTCAAAAAATATGCGCCTTTTAGAAAAAAAAAGAGAATGAGGGTTTTGGATTGCGTGGGCGTGACTAAGGTCTGAGACTCACTTATTGGCTCCTCCCAGTTTCTTACGTATCTCCTCCATCTGGTGGTTCTTGTCGTTGACCTCTGACTTCTTGGTGAGGTGCTGGTTCTTCAGGTCCTGCAGCTGGGCCATGGTCTCATCTATGATCTTCATGTGGCGGTGCTCCTCCTAGGAAAGACAGGGAGAAAAATAGTTAAAAACCAACCCTTCCAATCTGATCAACAAAGAAAGAAATTACACATTTGATTGACGCCATCGGTCTGAGAATTTAGCGCCTTATTGCAAACAGGATGCATGTTTTGGAAAATGTTGATTCTGTACAGGCTTCCTTCTTTTCACTCTGTCATTTAGGTTAGTATTGTGGAGTAACTACAATGTTGATCCATCCTCAGTTTTCTCCTATCACAGCCATTAAACTCCAATGGTTTTAAAGTTACCATTGGCCTCATGGTGAAATCCCTGAGAGGTTTCCTTCCTCTCCGGCAACTGAGTTAGGAAGGACGCCTGTATCTGTAGTGACTGGGTGTATTGATTCACCATCCAAAGTGTAATTAATAACTTCACCATGCTCAAAGGTATATTCAGTGTCTGCTTTATTTTTACCCATCTACCAATAGGTGCCGTTCTTTGCGAGGCATTGGAAAACCTCTCTGGTCTTTGTGGTTTAATCTGTGTTTGAAATCCACTGCTCGACTGAGGGTCCACTCCTTACAGATACTTGTACAGTGCATTCGGAAAGTATTCAGACCCCTTCCCTTTTTCCAAATTTTGTTACGTTACAGCCTTATTCTAAAATGGATTAAATAAAACAAAATTCCTCATCAATCTACACACAATATCCCATAATCACCAAGCGAAAACAGGTTTAGACATTTTTGTAAATGTATAAAACATAAAAAACATAAATACCTTATTTACGTAAGTATTCAGACCCTTTGCTATGAGACTTGAAATTGAGCTCGGATGCATCCTGTTTCCATTGATCATCCTTGAGATGTTTCTAGGTAAATTCAATTGATTGGACATGATTTGGAAAGGCACACACCTGTATATATAAGGTCCCACAGTTGACAGTGCATGCCAGAGCTGGCCGCCTGGTCAAACTGAGCAATTGGGGGAGAAGGGCCTTGGTCAGGGAGGTGACCAAGAACCTGATGGTCACTGACAGAGCTCCAGAGTTCCTCTGTGGAGATGGGAGAACCTTTCAGAAGGACAACCATCTCTGCAGCACTCCATCAATCAGGCCTTTATGGTAGACTGGCAAGACGGAAGCCACTCCTCAGTATTAGCCACATGACAGCCCACTTGGAGTTTACCAAAGGGCACCTAAAGGGCCCTCAGACCATGAAAAACAAGATTCTCTGGTCTGATGAAACCAAGATTGAACTATTTGGCCTGAATGCCAAGCATCACGTCTGGAGGAAACCTGGCACCATCCCTACGGTGAAGAATGGTGGTGGCAGCATCATGCTGTGGGGATGTTTTTCAGCGGCAGGGACTGGAAGACTAGACATGATTGAGGGAAAGATGAACAGAGCACAGTACAGAGAGATCCTTGATGAAAACCTGCTCCAGAGTGCTCAGGACTGCAGACTGGGGCAAAGGTTCACCTTCCAACAGGACAACGACCCTAAGCACACAGCCAAGACAACGCAGGAGTGGCTTCGGGACAAGTCTCTGAATGTCCTTGAGTGGCCCAGCCAGAGCCCGGACTTGAACCCGATCGAACATCTCTGGAGAGACCTGAAAATAGCTGTGCAGCGACACTCCCCATCCAACCTGACACAGCTTGAGAGGATCTGCTGAGAAGAATGGGAGAAACTCCACAAATACAGGTGATTCAACAAAGTACTGAGTAAAGGGTCTTAATACTTATGTAAATGTTATATATTTCAGTTTTTTATTTTTAATAAATGTGCTAAACATTCTAAAAACCTGTTTTTGCTATGTCATTATGGGGTATTGTGTGTAGATTGATGAGGGAAAAAAACAATTTAATCAATTTTAGAATAAGGCTGTAACGTAACAAAATGTGGAAAAAGTCAAGGGGTCTGAATACTTTCCGAATGCACTGTATGTGTGCGGTACAGAGATGAGGTAGTCATTCAAAAATCATTTTAAACATTATTATTGCACACAGTGTGTCCATGCAACTTGTTAAGCAAATTTTTACTCCTAAACTTATTTAGGCTTGCCATAACAAAGGGGTTGAATACTTATTGACTCAAGACATTACAGCTTTTCATTTTTTATTAATTTGACATTATGGGGTATTGTGTGTAGGCCACGGACAAAAAAATCTTGATTTAATCCATTTTAAATTCAGGCTGTAACACAACAAAATGTGGAAAAAGTCAAGGGATGTGAATACTTTCTGAAGGCACTGTAGTTTAGAAGCCGTTTACAATTACCTCTACCTTCTTGAGTCTCTATATATTTCCATAGTGTCTCTACCTTCTCAAGTCTGTATCTCAGCCTCGTCTTACCTTCTTGAGTCTCTCTATCTCGGCCTCGTACTTCTTGACAGTCTGCTCCCACATCATGACCTTTTCCTGGTCCTCCTTCAGCTGGTTCTTCTCATAGTCCAGCTGGATGCCCAGACAAGTCTTCTGGGTCTCAAACTCCAGCCTAAAGGACACAAAGACAGACACAAGCTAAGTAAACCCACTCAGAGAAACAGAGACAGACTAGTCCCAAAATGGCTGATGTTAGGTCAAACTACCCAGAAAAACAGAGACAGGCGAGTCACAAAATGGACGTCTGCAGTGCTTTAAAAACAGGTTGACTCGGTTCATATTGACCCATAGAGGATGACGAGACTCACCGTTTCTTGGCGATCTCATTCTGCCTCTTGACCTTCTCCTCCTCGAACTCTCTGATGTTCCTGACTCCGATCTCCTTACAGAACTCGATGAACACCTCATCTTCCACAACGTTCATACGGTCTCTCAGATCATTGACCTCCTTCTCACGGGATTGGATGATCCTCTTGATGTCGTTGATGCGAGGGCAGAAGTTAGCCAGCTCACTCTCCAGCTTGGACTTCTCCTACAGGAGGTTACTAATTATAGGTCATCATGGAACCACAAATGGGCACTTAGAGCCACATGTTGGTCCAGAGCCACAAGGTTCAGACCCTTGACCTAGGGCTGCTACAAAACAAACTGACGCACTTTGTGCTGTGGCCCACTGTGTTGGTACACCATACCTGCATGTTGAGGGAGAGGTGTCGTGTCTTGGTCTGTTCCAGGTCGCTCTGGGAGTATTTGAGTCTCATCTGGAGGCCGTGGGCCTGAGACTGGACCTGACGCAGCTCTGCCTCCTTCCTCTTAGCCTTCATTTGCTCCTGTAGACATGAGAGAGAGGTGCATCGTGGTTAATGTAGTGAGCACCCTCCACAGATTTCTGATACAAAAGTGTATTTATTTTGCACAGATACATCACACATACACAATAGTCAATGAACGGAAGGTAAACAAGCCCAGCACTGGCTTATCAGCACCCAGATTCATGTGCTTTTCAGGAAAGAAACCATATACACAAACCCCCATTCATTGTACAGGCCTGTAAAAAGTTTAGAGACAGGTTACCTTGAGTTCCGCAGTGAGTTTCTCCTTCTTGTCCTTGAGTTTGTCCACAGCCTTCTCATCCCAGCGCCTGGCCTTAGCCTTCAGATCACTGGCTCCACCCGAGATCACACCAGACTTCTGGAAAAGAGTACCATCCAGGGCCACCGTCTGGAGAGAGAGGGGGGAGAGAGGATGGAGAGAGGGGGGGGAGAGGGGGAGAGAGAGGGGGGAGAGAGGATGGAGAGAGAGGGGGAGAGAGGATGGAGAGAGGGGGGGAGAGAGGATGGAGAGAGAGACAGAGAGCGCGAGAGGGATAGATGGATGGACAGAGAGAAAAAGAGAAATGTAGTTAGGTTGCATAACTTTCAATCAACCAGTGAAGGTGTGTGTCCATGTATTTGTACCTTGTGTCTGTAGGGCCCTCCGAAGGCAATGCGTCGAGCGTCCTCTACGTTCTCACAGACCAGTGCATTACCACAGGCGTACTGCAGGGCCTTCTTAATGTGAGGCGGCTCGTAGCGGATCACATCTATCACCAGCTTGGCTCCACGCAGCTCACGCAGCTTCTCATCTGTAGGCTTCACCTGGAGACACACAACACAGAGACACAGACAGTTAAGACTGATACAACACAGAGAGACATGGACAGTTAAGACTGATACAATCACAGAGACACGGACAGTTAAGACTGATACAACACAGAGAGACATGGACAATTAAGACTGATAAAACACAGAGACACGGACAGTTAAGACTGATACAACACAGAGACCCGGACAGTTAAGACGGATACAACACAGAGAGACATGGACAGTTAAGACTGATACAATCACAGAGACCCGGACAGTTAAGACTGATACAACCACAGAGAGACACGGACAGTTAAGACTGATACAACCACAGAGACCTGGACAGTTAAGACTAATACAACCACAGAGACCCGGACAGTTAAGACTAATACAACCACAGAGACACGGACAGTTAAGACTGATACAACACAGAGACCTGGACAGTTAAGACTGATACAACACAGACAGACACGGACAATTAAGACTGATACAACACAGAGACCTGGACAGTTAAGACTGATGCAACCACAGAGACACGGACAGTTAAGACTGATACAACCACAGAGAGACACGGACAGTTAAGACTGATACAACACAGAGACACGGACAGTTAAGACTAATACAACCACAGAGACACGGACAGTTAAGACTGATACAACACGGAGACCTGGACAGTTAAGACTAATACAACCACAGAGACCTGGACAGTTAAGACTGATACAACACAGAGACCTGGACAGTTAAGACTAATACAACCACAGAGACCTGGACAGTTAAGACTAATACAACCACAGAGAGACCTGGACAGTTAAGACTAATACAACCACAGAGAGACCTGGACAGTTAAGACTGATACAACACAGAGACCTGGACAGTTAAGACTAATACAACCACAGAGACCTGGACAGTTAAGACTGATACAACACAGAGACCTGGACAGTTAAGACTAATACAACCACAGAGAGACCTGGACAGTTAAGACTAATACAACCACAGAGAGACCTGGACAGTTAAGACTGATACAACACAGAGACCTGGACAGTTAAGACTAATACAACCACAGAGACCTGGACAGTTAAGACTGATACAACACAGAGACCTGGACAGTTAAGACTGATACAACCACAGAGCCACAGACATTTTGACTGGACTGATACAGGTCTGTCGGTGTTCACACGCACATAGACGCTCTGCCACTGTGGAGTCCCGGGCCACATATACAGGGGGAAAGTTCCTAGAGAAGGTCAAATGCACTTCTTTTTTTTTTACTGACTGGTCTGCTGCATGTAAAAAAAATTCACAAGGAAACAGTAAACCAAACAATCAGTCCAAAAATTCTAACTTAATAGTTGAGGTAAGTGTGTGCATCTTAAGCTAGGACTCTACTCTATGTAAATGACCAGTGTGACCAGTCCCATTAACCACAGTTTTCCCCAGTGTTTAACCTCCAGATAGACAAGGGGAAGGAAGGTCTCCAGCTCTCCTCTCTGCTCCTTGATGTACTGGATGCAGACTCATTCATTCATTCATCCATCCATCCATCCATCCATCCATTCTTAGCATCCTACCTCCAGATAGTCGAGGGGCAGGAAGGTCTCCGGCTCTCCTCTCTGCTCTTTGATGTACTGGATACAGTCTCTACCGGTCTTCTCTGAGTCCACGATAATGGCGTCCATGTTCTTGCCCAGCACCTTGGTCACAGCGATCTGAAACTTCTTCTGAGTGGGCTGACACAGGTCGATCAGACGGCCGTACTGGAGGGAACGTGTGGGGAGAGAACATGAGCGTTGGAATATGGAAAAACCATTTCACCATTCCTTCACTGTTCTGATGGCTCAGTTAGTATAGCATGGCGCTTGCACTGCCAGGGTTGTATGCACGTACAGTGAGGGGGAAAAGTATTTGATCCCCTGCTGATTTTGTACGTTTGCCCACTGACAAATAAATGATCAGTCTATAATTTTAATGGTAGGTTAATTTGAACAGTGAGAGACAGAATAACAACAAAATAATTCAGAAAAACGCATGTCAAAAATGTTATAAATTGATTTGCATTTTAATGAGGGAAATAAGTATTTGACCCCCTCTCAACCAGAAAGATTTCTGGCTCCCAGGTGTCTTTTATACAGGTAACGAGCTGAGATTAGTAGCACACTCTTAAAGGGAGTGCTCCTAATCTCAGCTTGTTACCTGTATAAAAGACACCTGTCCATAGAAGTAATCAATCAGATTCCAAACTCTCCACCATGGCCAAGACCAAAGAGCTCTCCAAGGATGTCAGGGACAAGATTGTTGACCTACACGAGGCTGGAATGGGCTACAAGACCATCGCCAAGCAGCTTGGTGAGAAGGTGACAACAGTTGGTACGATTATTCGCAAATGGAAGAAACACAAAAGAACTGTCAATCTGGGAGCCTGGGGCTCCATGCAAGATCTCACCTCGTGGAGTTGCAATGATCATGGGAACGGTGAGGAATCAGCCCAGAACTACACGGGAGGATCTTGTCAATGATTTCAAGGCAGCTGGGACCATAGTCACCAAGAAAACAATTGGTAACACACTACGCCGTGAAGGACTGAAATCCTGCAGCGCCCGCAAGGTCCCCCTGCTGAAGAAAGCACATATACAGGGCCGTCTGAAGTTTGCCAATGAACATCTCAATGATTCAGAGGAGAACTGGGTGAAAGTGTTGTGGTCAGATGAGACCAAAATCGAGCTCTTTGGCATCAACTCAACTCGCCGTGTTTGGAGGAGGAGGAATGCTGCCTATGTCCCCAAGAACACCATCCCCACTGTCAAACATGGAGGTGGAAACATTATGCTTTGGGGGTGTTTTTCTGCTAAGGGGACAGGACAACTTCACCGCATCAAAGGGACGATGGACGGGGCCATGTACCATCAAATCTTGGGTGAGAACCTCCTTCCCTCAGCCAGGGCATTGAAAATGGGTCGTGGATGGGTATTCCAGCATGACAATGACCCAAAACACACGGCCAAGGCAACAAAGGAGTGGCTCAAGAAGGAGCACATTAAGGTCCTGGAGTGGCCTAGCCAGTCTCCAGACCTTAATCCCATAGAAAATCTGTGGAGGGAGCTGAAGGTTCGAGTTGCCAAACGTCAGCCTCGAAACCTTAATGACTTGGAGAAGATCTGCAAAGAGGAGCGGGACAAAATCCCTCCTGAGATGTGTGCAAACCTGGTGGCCAACTACAAGAAACGTCTGATCTCTGTGATTGCCAACAAGGGTTTTGCCACCAAGTACTAAGTCATGTTTTGCAGAGGAGTCAAATACTTATTTCCCTACTTAAAATGCAAATCAATTTCTAAAATTTTTGACATGCGTTTTTCTGTATTTTTTTGTTGTTATTCTGTCTCTCACTGTTCAAATAAACCTACCATTAAAATTATAGACTGATCATGTCTTTGTCAGTGGGCAAACATACAAAATCAGCAGGGGATCAAATACTTTTTTCCCCTCACTGTATGACTGTAAAATCGCTTTGGATAAAAGCGTCTGCTAAATGGCATATATTATCAATATTCCAAGAGAAGAAACATGTCTAGAACACAACAGCGAACAGGTGTGAGGAGAGTAAAACAGAGAAAGCAACCCTGTCTCTCTACTGGACCTGTTGTCTCCACCTCTGAATTCTCGCCTAAGAAAAGCCAACTGACCATCCTGAACTATTGCACCCTCTATAACCAATGTGATTACCATTTGACCCTGTTTGTAATCTATGAACGTTTGAACATCTTGAACAATCTGGCCTAAAAGGCCATGTACTCTTATAATCTCCACCCGGCACAGAGTACTGGCCTGTTTTTCCTAGCCACCGTGCTTCTACATCTGCATTGCCTGCTCTTTGGGGTTTTAGGCTGGGTATCTGTATAAGCACTTTCTGACAACTGCTGATATAAAAAGGGCTTTATAAAATAAATGTGATTGATTGACATTGACCGGCATAGAAAGCCAACTCTGTGGTTGTCCTGCGCTAGCATCCAGTCCCCAGTCCTACCACAGATCCTGGGGTCGAGTATCTTCATGCTCTCTATGATCTCTGCTTTGTCTGGTAGCCTCTAGCCTTTACCGCGAACTGTGTGGTAACTATATGCTAGCTGCTAGCCTCCAGTGATCCTACCACAGATCCGGTGTGCAGTCTCCTGATCCTCTCCATGATCTATGCTTGCTCTAGCTAGCCTCTTATCCCTAGCCTCTACAGCTAACTCTGTCGTTACCCTATGCTAGCCTCTGACCCCTAGCCTCTACAGCCAACTCTGTCGTTACCCTATGCTAGGCTCTGACCCCTAGCCTCTACAGCTAACTGTCATTACCCTATGCTAGCCTCTGACCCCTAGCCTCTACAGCCAACTCTGTCGTTACCCTATGCTAGGCTCTGATCCCTAGCCTCTACAGCCAACTCTGTCGTTAACCTATGCTAGCCTCTGACCCCTAGCCTCTTCATTTAACTCTGTCGTTACCCTATGCTAGCCTCCAGGTCTTACCACAGATCCGGGATACAGTCTCTTGATGCTGTCCATGATCTCTGCTTTGCGTGCCTGCCTGCTGTTCTCCTGTCTGTCGATCCTGGCGTCTCCTAGCTGCTCCATCACCTAGGGAACAGAGAGACAGGCTGTCAGTCAAATCTCTTACTGTCCTTAGGCCAAACCATCTACATGACAGGATCCTGGCACTTGCCATTTGCTAGAAAATCCATAGCAGCAAAACAGAACATTAAATGATAAGATTGTGTGTTTTTTTCCAGATTGGCATTTGTGATACAGCTATCATGTAATGTCAACACAACATGTTTTGTCTTTCCCAATGTGTTCCAGTATAAAACAATGACTGGTTGAATGATTGACAGATAGTGTTCCAGTACCTGGTTGAGTTCCAAGTTGATCTCGTCGATCCTGTTCTTGGCCCCCTCCACCTGCTCAGTCAGCTCCTCCTCCATTCTCTTCTGTTCATCCAGAGACTGCTTGCTTGTGGTAATGTAGTCCTCTAGCTTCTCAATACGCTTCTGGTTCTCCTCTATTTCACGGATCTTCTGCTTGATCTTGGCCTGCAGATGAACGTTATTCAAATGTTCATCTCTCTTTAGTCACTACTTCACCTTTTCCGTTGCAATACCTTTTTTTTAACATTGCGTGCCCCAATGAGCATAACCCTTTATTCTGTATCAGCATCCTTTACCTCAGTCTCCACTTTCTTTCTCTCTTCCAGGTCGAGGCGGTCCTGGTCTGCCTTCTGGTCTCTGTTGAACTTCTCCAGCTCCTGGGCAAGAGTGGCCGCCCGCTTACTGGCCTCCTCCTTCAGACGGTGGTACGCCTTCACCTGGAGAGGGAAGGAGGAGGAAGAGGTGGAGAGTATTAGATATTATAAACTGGGTAGTTTCACGCAAAACTACATGTTTACTGTTGTATGGCTTTGTGTGATGCCAAAGAAGAGCCCTTAAGGGTGGTATATTGGCCATTATAAACTAGGTGGGTCGAGCCTGAATGCTGATTGGCTGACAGCCGTGGTATATCAGACCGTATACCACAGGTATGACAAAACATGTATTTTTACTGCTCTAATTACGTTGGTAACCAGTTTATAATAGCAATAAGGCACCTCGGGGGTTTGTGATATATGGCGTTGCGTCGTGCATAAGAACAGCCCTTATCTGTGGTATATTGGCCATATACCACACCTCTTCTGGCATTACTGCTTAATTATACCACACCTCCTCGGGCATTATTGCTTAATTCACCTCCATATTTATTGGCGTGATAGTAAGTCTGGCCAACCTGGGATTTGAACCAGCAACATTCCCATACATGGTTTTCCTCCAGTGTGAGGTCCTGGCTCTATGCCTCCTTCATGCAGCCGTCAAACTCATCTGGCCATCTGACCCTACATAAGTCACTATAACCCCCTTATGATCCTTCATAGAGACTACAGTTGAAGTTGGAAGTTTACATACACTTAGGTTGGAGTCATTAAAACTTGTTTTTCAACCACTCCACAAATTTATTTTTAACAAACTATAGTTTTGGCAAGTCGGTTAGGACATCTACTTTGTGCATGACACAAGTAATTTTTCCAACAATTGTTTACAGACAGATTATTTAACTTATAATTCACTGTATCACAATTCCAGTGGGTCAGAAGTTTACATACACTAAGTTGACTGTGCCTTCAAACAGCTTGGAAAATTCCAGAAAAGGATGTCATGGCTTTAGAAGCTTCTGATAGGCTAACTGAAGGCATTTGAGTCAATTGGAGGTGTACCTGTGGATGTATTTCAAGGCCTACCTTCAAACTCAGTGCCTCTTTGCTTGACATCATGGGAAAATCAAAAGAAATCAGCCAAGACCTCAGAAAAAAAATTGTAGACCTCCACAAGTCTGGTTCATCCTTGGGAGCAATTTCCAAACGCCTGAAGGTACCACGTTCATCTGTACAAACAATAGTACGCAAGTATAAACACCATGGGACCATGCAGCCATCATTCTGCTCAGGAAGGAGACACGTTCTGTCTCCTAGAGATGAATGTACTTTGGTGCGAAAAGTGCAAATCAATCCCAGAACAACAGCAAAGGACCTTGTGAAGATGCTGGAGGTATCAGGTACAAAAGTATCTATATCCACATTAAAACGAGTCCTATATCGACATAACCTGAAAGGCCGCTCAGCAAGGAAGAAGCCACTGCTCCAAAACCGCCATAAAAAAGCCAGACTACGGTTTGCAACTGCATATGGGGACAAAGATCGTACTTTTTGGAGAAATGTCCTCTGGTCTGATGAAACAAAAATAGAACTGTTTGGCCATAATGACCATCGTTATGTTTGGAGGAAAAAGGGGGATCCTTGCAAGCCGAAGAACACCATTCCAACCGTGAAGCACGGGGGTGGCAGCATCATGCTGTGGGGGTGCTTTGCTGCAGGAGGGCCTGGTGCACTTCACAAAATAGATGGCATCATGAGGAAGGAAAATTATGTGGATATATTGAAGCAACATCTCAAGACATCAGTCAGGAAGTTAAAGCTTGGTCGCAAATGGGTCTTCCAAATGGACAATGACCCCAAGCATACTTCCAAAGTTGTGGCAAAACGGCATAAGGACAACAAAGTCCTTTTGGAGTGGCCATCGCAAAGCCCTGACCTCAATCCTATAGAAAATGTGGGCAGAACTGAAAATGTGTGTGCGAGCAAGGAGGCCTACAAACCTGACTCTAAACCAGCTCTGTCAGGAGAAATGGGCCAAAATTCCCCCAACTTATTGTGGGAAGCTTGTGGAAGGCTACCCGAAACGTTTGACCCAAGTTAAACAATTTAAAGGCAATGCTACCAAATACTAATTGAGTGTATGTAAACTTCTGACCCACTGGGAATGTGATGAAATAAATAAAAGCTTAAATAAATCATTCTCTCTACTATTATTCTGACATTTCACATTCTTAAAATAAAGTGGTGATCCTAACTGACCTAAGATAGGGAATTTTTACTAGGATTAAATGTCAGGAATTTTAAAAAACTGAGTTTAAATGTATTCGGCTAAAGTGTATGTAAACTTCTGACTTCAACTGTAGGCTCCAACCTGGTTTTCCTCTAGAGTAAAAAAAAAAAAATGTTTTACTGTCACATACACCAGATCCTGTCCCTGGCTCTGGGCCTCCTCCTCCATGCTTCTCTCCCCATGACCCGTCATAGATCATAACGAAGCTACATACAGTGGGGAAAACAATTATTTAGTCAGCCACCAATTGTGCAAGTTCTCCCACTTAAAAAGATGAGAGGCCTGTAATTTTCATCATAGGTACACGTCAACTATGACAGGCAAAATGAGAAAAAAAAGTCCAGAAAATCACATTGTAGGATTTTTAATGAATTTATTTGCAAATTATGGTGGAAAATAAGTATTTGGTCAATAACAAAAGTTTCTCAATACTTTGTTATATACCCTTTGTTGGCAATGACACAGGTCAAACGTTTTCTGTAAGTCTTCACAAGGTTTTCACACACTGTTGCTGGTATTTTGGCCCATTCCTCCATGCAGATCTCCTCTAGAGCGGTGATGTTTTGGGGCTGTCGCTGGGCAACACAGACTTTCAACTCCCTCCAAAGATTTTCTATGGGTTTGAGATCTGGAGACTGGCTAGGCCACTCCAGGACCTTGAAATGCTTCTTACGAAGCCACTCCTTCGTTGCCCGGGCGGTGTGTTTGGGATCATTGTCATGCTGAAAGACCCAGCCACGTTTCATCTTCAATGCCCTTGCTGATGGAAGGAGGTTTTCACTCAAAATCTCACGATACATTCATTCTTTCCTTTACACAGATCAGTCGTCCTGGTCCCTTTGCAGAAAAACAGCCCCAAAGCATGATGTTTCCACCCCCATGCTTCACAGTAGGTATGGTGTTCTTTGGATGCAACTCAGCATTCTTTGTCCTCCAAACATGACGAGTTGAGTTTATACCAAAAAGTTATATTTTGGTTTCATCTGACCATATGACATTCTCCCAATCCTCTTCTGGATCATCCAAATGCACTCTAGCAAACATCAGACGGGCCTGGACATGTACTGGCTTAAGCAGGGGGACACGTCTGGCACTGCAGGATTTGAGTCCCTGGCGGCGTAGTGTGTTACTGATGGTAGGCTTTGTTACTTTGGTCCCAGCTCTCTGCAGGTCATTCACTAGGTCCCCCCGTGTGGTTCTGGGATTTTTGCTCACCGTTCTTGTGATCATTTTGACCCCACGGGGTGAGATCTTGGGTGGAGCCCCAGATCGAGGGAGATTATCAGTGATCTTGTATGTCTTCCATTTCCTAATAATTGCTCCCACAGTTGATTTCTTCAAACCAAGCTGCTTACCTATTGCAGATTCAGTCTTCCCAGCCTGGCGCAGGTCTACAATTTTGTTTCTGGTGTCCTTTGACAGCTCTTTGGTCTTGGCTATAGTGGAGTTTGGAGTGTGACTGTTTGAGGTTGTGGACAGGTGTCTTTTATACTGATAACACGTTCAAACAGGTGTCATTAATACAAGTAACGAGCGGAGGACAGAGGAGCCTCTTAAAGAAGAAGTTACAGGTCTGTGAGAGCCAGAAATCTTGCTTGTTTGTAGGTGACCAAATACTTATTTTCCACCATAATTTGCAAATAAATTCTTTAAAAACCCTACAAAGTGATTTTCTGGAGAAAAAAAATCTCAATTTGTCTGTCATAGTTGACGTGTACCTATGATGAAAATTACAGGCCTCTCATCTTTTTAAGTGGGAGAACTTGCACAATTGGTGGCTTACTAAATACTTTTTTCCCCCACTGTAGATCCTTATGACCCTTCATAGGCTCCCAGTCTCTCACCTGATTTTCCTCCAGTGTGAGGTCCTGTCCCTGGCTCTGTGCCTCCTCCTCCATTCGGTCGTCGAACTCCTGCCGGGCCATCTCCACAGCGCCCTGTTCTTTCTCCAACTCATCCATATCCCCCTTCCTCTTCTTGTACAGCTTCTGGGCGTTCTGGAGGGACTTCTTGGCTGCTTCTAGTTTTTTGATCTTGTGTGATGTGTTTTCTTTAGCCTTGATGTACTGGGGTCGCTTTTGGTTCAGCTCAGCGTCCTTCTCCCTGTAGGGGGAAGAGAGGGGGGGGGGGGGTACGATATTCCCTGTTTAACTTCCAAAATGGCAACTATTCCACCTGGCCTATCAAATCTCCACAAATTCTTAGGCTCCTTCTTCACAGTCTAGCCCTCCTTCCCCTAGCTCCCTACTCCCTGGTCTGTCATCATCCTCCCCAACTCTTTATCCGTCCCTACATCATCCCCACTTACTTGATCTCTTTCTCCACAGTCTGTTGGTCTCTCATCATTCGTCCCAGCTCTTTCTTCTTCTCCTTCAGTTCCTCCTCCACGTGGTCCATCTTCTTGCGGTCCTTGTCGATCTCCTTGTTGCGTTGCGACAGCTCGCGATTCAGCTTTTCGATCTCGGCATCATTGTGATACAGCTTGAACAGCTGCATCTGGACATGAGCTTTCACCACCTCGTCCTTCAGACGCTGGTAACGCTCAGCCTTAAGAGGGGAAAGTTAATGTGTGTGTGTGTGTATTGAAGAAGAAAAAAAACAAGGCCTGCACTTCCTTTTTCAGGTGAAAAAAAAGGAACATGTTTATTCCATTTCACAGGACTAACATTTTGAACAACTGGGCTTCATCAATGTCAGACGATAGTGACAAAATGTGTGTCATAAGAACCACAGCAAAGGACTATATATACAGTGAGGGAAAAAAGTATTTGATCCCCTGCTGATTTTGTACGTTTGCCCACTGACAAAGAAATGATCAGTCTATAATTTTAATGGTAGGTTTATTTGAACAGTGAGAGACAGAATAACAACAAAAAAATCCAGAAAAACGCATGTCAAAAATGTTATAAATTGATTTGTATTTTAATGAGGGAAATAAGTATTTGACCCCCTCTCAATCAGAAAGATGTCTGGCTCCCAGGTGTCTTTTATACTGGTAACGAGCTGAGATTAGGAGCACACTCTTAAAGGGAGTGCTCCTAATCTCAGTTTGTTACCTGTCCACAGAAGCAATCAATCAGATTCCAAACTCTCCACCATGGCCAAGACCAAAGAGCTCTCCAAGGATGTCAGGGACAAGATTGTAGACCTACACAAGGCTGGAATGGGCTACAAGACCATTGCCAAGCAGCTTGGTGAGAAGGTGACAACAGTTGGTGCGATTATTCGCAAATGGAAGGAACACAAAAGACTGTTAATCTCCCTCGGCCTGGGGCTCCATACAAGATCTCACCTCGTGGAGTTGCAATGATCATGAGAACGGTGAGGAATCAGCCCAGAACTACACGGGAGGATCTTGTCAATGATCTCAAGTCAGCTGGGACCATAGTCACCAAGAAAACAATTGGTAACACACTACACCGTGAAGGACTGAAATCCTGCAGCGCCCGCAAGGTCCCCCTGCTCAAGAAAGCACATATACAGGCCCGTCTGAAGTTTGCCAATGAACATCTGAATGATTCAGAGGAGAACTGGGTGAAAGTGTTGTGGTCAGATGAGACCAAAATCGAGCTCTTTGGCATCAACTCAACTCGCCGTGTTTGGAGGAGGAGGAATACTGCCTATGACCCCAAGAACACCATCCCCACCGTCAAACATGGAGGTGGAAACATTATGCTTTGGGGGTGTTTTTCTGCTAAGGGGACAGGACAACTTCACCGCATCAAAGGGATGATGGACGGCGCCATGTACCGTCAAATCTTGGGTGAGAACCTCCTTCCCTCAGCCAGGGCATTGAAAATGGGTCGTGGATGGGTATTCCAGCATGACAATGACCCAAAACACACGGCTAAGGCAACAAAGGAGTGGCCTAGCCAGTCTCCAGACCTTAATCCCATAGAAAAATCTGTGGAGGGAGCTGAAGGTTCGAGTTGCCAAACGTCAGCCTCGAAACCTTAATGACTTGGAGAAGATCTGCAAAGAGGAGTGGGACAAAATCCCTCCTGAGATGTGTGCAAACCTGGTGGCCAACTACAAGAAACGTCTAACCTCTGTGATTGCCAACAAGGGTTTTGCCACCAGGTACTAAGTCATGTTTTGCAGAGGGGTCAAATACTTATTTCCCTCATTAAAATGCAAATCAATTTATAACATTTTTGACTTGCGTTTTTTGGATTTTTTTGTTGTTATTCTGTCTCTCACTATTCAAATAAACCTACCATTAAAATTATAGACTGATCATGTCTTTGTCAGTGGGCAAACGTACAAAATCAGCAGGGAATCAAATACTTTTTTCCCCTCACTGTATGGAGGAAGGGATGGGAGTATGTCAGTCTAACAATCTCATTCTCAAAGTCCCACCAGAAGATTAAAATGTGAGTGAAGGGGGAGAGGTTGACAACTTATGAGAGAGAAAGAGAAGGGTGCGGTGCCATCAGACAGGCTGTGTCCTCCATACCTCCTCTTTCTCTTGCTTGGCCTCTTTGCGTTCGGCAGCTATGTTTTTCTTGCGGTGGTAGTTGAACTGTGTGTCCTCCTCAGCCTTCACCATCTCTTTCTTCCTGCGGTCGTACTCCTGAGCCAACTCCCCAGACCGGGAGATCTCCTCAAACAGAGCTGTACGCTCCTTAGGGTTCTTCATGGCTATGGACTCCACAGCACCCTGATTGGGGAATAAATAGAGGTCAGAGGTTACTAGCACTGTCGTACATAGGGTAAGAGAGGTCTATGGACAAACAGTATCTAGAGTTCTATATTACTGTGTGTATGTGTGTGTGTGTGTGAGAGAGTTCTCACCTGGAAGACAAGGAAGTTCCTGGCCTTGATGAGGATGCCTAGTTTCTCCAGCTCCTCGCTGTACTCTGCCAGATTCACCACCTTACTGTTGATTCGGTACTCTGACGATGAGCCTAAGACGTGTAGAGAAAGGGGATAAAACCAATGTTATCTGTATTACTTTGTGTGTCCTAAGCTCTTCACTGTCCTCAGCCAGACACCCCACCTTACTGTTGATTCGGTACTCTGAGGAGGAGCCTGACACACACAGACAACATGGAAGATGGTTGTTATGGCCATCAGACTGATGCAGATCCTTACTTTATCTACAGTATATTTTTGACCAGCACTAGTTCTTAAGTTTGGGTTGTGCATATCAACCTTGTTTGCTCCATCAGATATATAAACACATCTTCAAAGAGGACCAGACAAAATTGACTTAGGTGTCATATTAACCACACAGTTTATCTCTACCAATGGATCTGTGTGGAGAAAGTCAGTGGGGACTGCCATGGTATACCAATTATGATTCTGGTGAAGGTGCGCTCTTCTCCACTGTCCTCATGGTACACCATGCTCACAAACGCTCTGTTGGCTGCTGGCTTCCCCACGGGCGCTCCGTGGATCAGGTCCTTCAGAGTCTTCACACGCAGGTTACTGGTCTTCTCAGCCAGCACAAAGCTGATGGCGTCCATGAGGTTGGACTTGCCTGGGATGTAGAGAATATGAATGGGAATGGAGTCAGTGAATGAACTACTCAAGTCTTGCAAATATGGTTTCTTTGGAAAAGGACGTAACTAGCTGGCTAGGTTAAGACTACATAATAAAAGTATTGATCTAATGTTTATGCATGTGAGGTCTCATTTATTTGTTCCCATTGACTGCGTGACTGGCAGGGAAGGAAATGTGTAGGGCGAGTCCGTTTTGTGTGGGCCGGTGCACCGGGTGAGCGGAGTTTACACATTGTAGACCATTTCATTGGTGCTGAACTCTCCACCACCCGGTGCACCGGGCCATGCAAAACGAACTAGGCCATTGATAGCTTGCCAGCTAAACATTATGGAGGCGTGGCTAACTACAGTTATAGCTAAAACATGTAGCTAATATTAATTAATATGCATGTACATTGATGTCTTTGTCAACAAAGTAACAAGTATTATTGATGCATTGCAGCTTGAAAAATGTAGCAAATAGTCAACCCGGCAGTAAAGTAAGCATTAGCTAGCTAGAATACTTGCAATATTGACCATCACTTACCGGATCCATTGGGTCCAATAATCGCGGTGAACTTGTGAAAGGGGCCGATGATTTGCCTGCCCTTGTAAGATTTGAAGTTTTCGATCTCTATTAGCTTCAAATAACCCATTATGATCAGATCTCTTGTGCGAAAACAAGGAATCTGTGTTGTTGTGCTAGCAGCTAATGTTGCTAATGCTAGCTAGCTAGCTAGTTATTGAACTCGTACCATGCACGCAAATTGTAAATATGTGTTACAAATAATCAAAAGTTACATTATCTAGCTTTCAAAATGTTCGAATGCACCATTTTACAGTCCTACTGCAGGACTGGTGACCACTGAGCGCGCGTAAGTGAACTTCTCGCGAGATGTTGCTGCTACAATTTATCCAAATCCCATAATAAACTTAAAGCGTTTATGTTTATTTCGCACATTCCATAAATACAATTATTACAGTGAAACTGATATTAGACCGCAATCATGTTAGAAGGTTTAAATGCCAAAGCAACCAAATAACTGTTTTGTTTAACTTTTCTGCCACCAACAGCCCGGTTCAAAACTGTAGGGAGAATGTATATAGTAGCCTGAGAGGATGGAAGTTCAACATGCAGTTAGATGTAGTATGCTAATGTTAACTAGCTGGCCTGGCGCATCGTTGCCCATGAAAGGAAGTTAGGCTAGCGAGCAACTATTTTAGCCAGGTAGCCTAGGACAACAAAAACTACAAGCATGTACTGTATGACAGAGTCATAGACCGTTTAGGCAACATGAAAGAGGAGGATGGCATCGGCATTTCTCTACAAGTAAGATGAGTCAACATGTTTTTTATACTTGCACACACACACACATTCAAATACAGAAATCAGTACCATGGACAGCCACATCATATTTAGCTTACGTTGAATGGACTAAATTGTTTTTGGAATCTTTTAGTTGTCACTGTATTAGACTAAACAGAGGTGATTTGATGATGTTGCAATGTAGAAGTTGAAATGTTGCTGGAATAGTGGTGGCAGCTCCTGTTTTCTTTGCAACTTGCGGTAACTCTCCGTGGTTCTAAATCAAAGGTTGTTTAGTAGTCCGAAAATGTCAGAAACATTACCTTGCTTGACCATGCTTTAGGTCATGTAACTGTTTGTTGCATGCAATATGTTTTGTGGACTTCACTGGACTGATGTTGCTCTCTGGTTTTGTGATGAAACAAATGTGTGGTTGAATTTATTCTGCCACTGTGTCTTCTTATTGTCTCGGCCTTAGGCCTATATATCACGGTGTCAAGGCATATGAACTAACAGGTTATAGATCAAACAGTGCAATTATTACAACACAGGTTTTAATATGGCTTTTTTTTCTTCCTGGATTGGCTTCCATGGTGATTTTACCCATGCACTGCTACTGTAGACAGAAGAACCAGCTTTTATTTACAATAATGGATCCCATTTATTTATCTTTTCCAATACAGTACCAGTCAAAAGTTTGGACACACCTACTCATTCCAGGGTAAAAGACCAAGTCCATGTTATGGCAAGAACAGCTCAAATAATCAAAGAGAAACGACAGTCCATCATTACTTTAAGACATGAAGGTCAGTCAATCTGGAAAAGTTCAAGAACTTTGAAAGTTTCTTCAAGTGCAGTCGCAAAAACCATCAAGCACTATGATGAAACTGGCTCTCATGACGACCGCCACAGGAAAGGAAGAGCCAGAGATATCTCTGCTGCAGAGGATAAGTTCATTATTAGAGTTACCAGCCTCAGAAATTGCAGCCCAAATAAGTGCTTCACAGAGTTCAAGTAACAGACACATCTCAACATCAACTGTTCAGAGGAGACTGCGTGAATCAGGCCTTCATGGTCAAATTGCTGCAAAGGAACCACTACTAAAGGACACCAATAAGAAGTGACCTGCTTGGGCCAAATTGGAGTTCCAAACCGCTGTGTCTTTGTGAGACGCAGTGTAGGTGAACGGATGATCTCCGCATGTGTAGTTCCCACCGTGACACATTGAGGAGGAGGTGTGATGGTGTGGGGGTGTTTTGCTGGTGACACTGTCTGTGATTTATTTAGAATTCAAGGCACACTTAACCAGCATGGCTACCACAGCATTCTGCAGTGATACGCCATCCCATCTGGTTTGGGCTTAGTGGGACTATCATTTGTTTTTCAACAGGACAATGACCCAACACACCTCCAGGCTGTGTAAGGGCTATTTGACCAAGAAGGAGAGTGATGGAGTGCTGTGTCAGATGACCTGGCCTCCACAATCCCCCGACCTCAACCCAATTGAGATGGTTTGGGATGAGTTGGACCGCAGAGTGAAGGAAAAGCAGCCAACAAGTGCTCAGCATATGTGGGAACTCCTTCAAGACTGTTGGAAAAGCATTCCAGGTGAAGCTGGTTGAGAGAATGCCAAGAGTGAGCAAAGCTGTCATCAAGGCAAAGGGTGGCTACTTTGAAGAATCTCAAATATAAAATATATTTTGATTTGTTTAACACTTTTTTGTTTACTACATGATTCCATATGTGTTCTTTCATAAAAAACCCTTGAATGAGTAGGTGTGTCCAAACTTTTGACTGGTACTGTATGTTGAGAGTGACTCAAGAATAAGTGCTGATGCAACACCAGCAGGAGGAAGAGGAGAGAACAGCAGAGTTGAACTGGGCCATCCGACAGCGGGCAGAAGACAACCGGGATGCTGATCTCAATGTTGACCGGCAGGGGGAGCTCATGTTGTCCATTCCCATCCCAGAGTCTGAGATGGGACCTGCCAGTATGCAAGTGTCCCAGGTATGAGAGATGACACTCAGGGTTGGGTAGGTTACTTTCTAAATGTAATGCTGAATTGAATGTCATTGAGAAAACGGAAAGGTGTCATCATGTATTTTTTTTCCCCCGCAAACATCATTTCTGAATTTAAAAGTCACCCATTAAGTAATGATCTACTTTTTCAAAAGTATCTGTAATCTGATTACGATATTTTTTATGTTAGAGTTTTTTGGTAATCAGATTACATGTAACTGATTACATTGAATCAGTTATGTCCCAACCCTGATGACACAAGATATCAAAGTCTTAAGGGAAATCGGGAAATATGTTGGAATTAATGAATAATCCATTTCTCACACAGTTATTCTGTAGATTAGAAGAGACGCTATAGAAGTGAAGTCATATCTCCTGACCTAGATTTGGGATTACTTTTTCATTTTAAAGCATTTGACCAAGAACCATATACACGGCACTGGTTTGAGTCTGACCTAGCCTGTTTGCTGACGGTGTGTTATATGGACATACTGTATGTCTGTGCATATGCTGTGCTCAGGGAGAAGAAAGCATTGGAGACAATGAGAAGAGTAGGACTGTTCAGTTAGACACTGGAAGAGGAGTGGAAGAGGGCTGGCCACATCGCACTCAATAACTACTACCATATTCAGGTAAATACACACACACACATACACACACATACACAGAGGGCTGCCCACATCGCACTCAACAACTACTTACACGCTCATGTACACACACACACACATACACTCTAACACACACACACCAGCCTAGGATGCACATCGGGAAGCCAGTCTGGTGAGACTGTGAGCCGTGACATGGTGTGTACTCGGACAGGGTTTTTTATTTTAATTACAAAACGCATTGAAGAAATTAAACGATGCCGTACACACTCACTCAGGGGAGATGGCGAGCACATTAGATGCGCACACACACACACACACATTATGCGTGGGCAGAGTGAGTCTCCTTTTATAAAAGCTTTTCCCCTCGTCTCATTTGCCTGACTGACTTGGTATGAATAGATTCATCCCAGTGGGAAGCATCATTATAAATGCTTATGGTCACGCTGTTTTTCATGTCAATTATGTGGTTTCTGTTAATTACCCATTATGCTCATTAGCTTTGTTGCACTACAGACACAGACATTGTGGTTCAGACAGAGATATCTCCAGAGCCCTTTTTGCAGGTCTCTTGACTTAGGAGGTTCAACCAGCCTGATCTTGTGAGCTGACATTCTGTTTCACTAAAGTGAAACAACATTTTATCAGAGCGGTCAGTCTGATTACGAGTCTATGGCTGACCCTTGCTCGAGGTAAAAATTGCTCGTAATGACAAATCTAAAGTCAGACTACACATTACCTCAAAAAAGTAAGGGAGAAGAGAACATGTTAACCTGGCCCTGTGTCGATGGATAAGGGGAAACTTTGACCTACTCCTCAGGACAATCCCTAGAGGGAGGTCTGCCGTCTGTTTGGAGGTCCTTGACCCCTTTGGTCTAACTAACCCCTGACCCTTGATCTGATGTGTTTTTTTCTACTAATACATTGTTATTGATTACTGCATTGTTGGGTTTTGAGTTTGAAAGAAAGGCATTTCACTGTACTTGTGCATGTGACATTAAAACTTGAAACTCTATCCCTTCTTTGACCCACATTCAAAGGCTGCAGAGCGGGCAGAGGAGAGAGGAAGGAGGGCGAGGAGATGGTGGAGGTGTGGCACGTCAGACATCCTGACAGAGTTTTCCCGAGGTTGCAGAGAGAGAAGGGGGTGGAGCCGGGGGACCGGGGGGCAGGCCCAGGGTTCTGACGGACAGGGGGAGAAATTAGCCCAGAGCAGCTGAGCGCCATCCGCAGGCAGAGAGAGAAACAGCGTCTAGAGCAGGGGAGTCAAACGTCCGGCCCGCGGGCCGGATCAGGCCCGCAAACGGGTTTAATCCGGCCCGCGAGATGATTTTGTAAAGTATAAAAATGAGCTGCAATTTTTCAATAAAAGAAACTGCTGTTCCAATTGTGTCCACTGGATAGCGCAATAGCAATTGTGTTAAGCAAGCAAACTGTTTATACCGGGGCAGAGCAAATAGGTCAAGCAAGTGCAGCCAATCCGGATGAGCTACTTTGTTTTGCCCGCGATATTTATTACGGCTTCTACTTTTAACATTATGTGCTTTGCACCCTCATTGCCCCAATATGTCTCTGTCAAAAAAGAGAAAAGTGGACGCAGAGTGCAGAGTGTTCCAAGAAAAATTGTCATCCTTCTATTTATTCACGGAATTGAATGGGAAAGCTGTATGTTTGGTGTGTTCACAGCATGTTGCAGTGCTGAAAGAATATAACCTTCGTCGCCACTATGTGAGTCTTCATGCCGACAAATATGACAACTTTCAAGGACAGCGGAGAAGAGAGAAGGTGAATGAACTGTTGGCGGGTCTGAAGAAACAGCAGTCTGTGTTTACTCACAGCCGAGACATCAGTGACGCTGCAGTGAAAGCTAGCTACCTCATTGCTAATGAAATCGCAGTGGCTTCAAAACCATTTAGTGAGGGTGAATTTGTAAAAACATGCATGATGAAGGCAGCGGAGATTGTGTGCCCTGAAAAGCACCAGGCTTTTGCAAATATCAGCCTGACAAGAAACACAGTTGCAGACAGGATTTCCGATCTTTCAGTGGATTTGGACAGCCAGTTGAAGCAAAAAGTAAAGTAATTTATTGCGTTTTCGGTTGCAATTGATGAAAGCACGGACATTACAGATGTTGCACAACTGGCCATTTTCATCCGCAGAGTTGATGACACATTGACCGTGGAGTTGGTGCCGATGACAGATGATATTTTCACTGCACTCGTCAGCGCGCTGGACAGGGTCGGAGTGGACTGGTCCCGCGCTGTCAGCCTGGCTACAGATGGTGCGCCCTCAATGATCGGGAAAAAAGCAGGCGTTGTGACAAAGTTCAGAGAGAAAGTGCAATCTGCAAATGGAGGACGTGATTTTTGGACTTTTCACTGTATTTTGCACCAGGAGGCTTTGTGTTGCAAGTCATTAAAGATGGATAACGTCATGAAGGTGGTTATTATTTTTATTATATTATTATTATATTATTATATTATATTATTATTATATTATTATTATTATATTATCCAAACTGTTAATTTCATCCGATCCAGAAGCCTGAATCAACGTCAGTTTGACAGCCTTCTCAGAGAGAAAGACCACATCTATGGCCTGCCATACCACACTGAGGTAAGATGGTTAAGCCGAGGTGCTGTGCTGAGGCGTTTCTTTGATTTTCGAGAAGAAATTGAACAGTTCATGGAAGAAAAGGGCAAACCAGTGTTAGAATTTCATTCCGCAGAATGGATGCAGGACCTTGCATTTATGGTGGATGTTACAATGCACCTGAATAACTTGAACAAACAGCTGCAAGGGTGCAACAAAGTTGCCACGCAGTATTATGACAGCATACGTTCTTTCAAGTTGAAGCTGTCATTGTGGGAGACGCAACTCGCCGGTGGTGATGCAGCTCACTTCCCCTGTCTGAAAAATGTGTGCGCGACCCAACATGTGGCAGACATGAAGCGGTTCAAAGATAAAATAACGGGACTGTTAAGGGAGTTTGAGCAACGCTTTCAGATTTTTGGTGAACTGGAGAAAGACTTCAACGTTTTTTGTTCGCCATTAACCGTGAATCCCTCTGATCTGCCCGTCAGCATCCAACTTGAAATAATAGACTTGCAGTGTGACTCGGATTTGAAGGGCAAATTTGCTGCAGCTGGCTTGGACACATTTTATCAGAATCTCTTGCCAGGTTACCCCAACTTGACAGCCCTCGCTGCAAAACTGTTGTGCATGTTTGGAACCACATATCTTTGTGAGCAAGTTCTCTGTAATGAGCATAAATAAAACAAAGCTGCGCTCAAGGCTCACGCACAAGCACTTGAATCACATCCTGAAGTTGGCTGCCACTCAGGATGTGACGCCTGATATTGATGCGCTGGTGAAAGCTAAAAGATGCCAGGTATCAGGAGTCAAATAAACTATGCAACCCCACTTAAAGTGCTGCATGAGACACCCTGATATAGTTCTGTGATCTGTGATATACTTCTGTGAATCACTGAGGCATTGTGTGTTGTTTGTCCTCAGAATTTCAAATAACTTGAGGTGTTTTATGATTAATAGTGATGTTGTGCTGTTGGACACACTGTCCTCAGGCTCCAGCTTTATGTTTATATGTTTTTATGTTGATGTGCTATTGTTTTTAATTGATTTTAATTGATTTGTATATTTAACCTATTCTTGACTCTGTGGTTCTTGCACTTGTTTGGGGAACAGGATTTCATTATTTGTATCTACATTTCTGCCTGAGAAATGACACCCTGATATAGTTCTGTGATCTGTGAAACAGTTCTGTGAATCACTGAGGCATTGTGTGTTTGTGTGTTCTTTTTCTTTAGAATTTTCAAATAAACTTGAGGTGTTTTATGATTAATAGTGATGTTGTGCTTGTACTATTTTGGACACACTGTCCTCAGGCTCCAGCTTTATGTTTTATGTTGATAGTATTAAAACAAAGAAAACAATCTGAAGTTGTTGTTTTTAAGTTATATATACCATGATTTTACCGGTCCGGCCCACTTGGGAATAGATTTTCCTCCATGTGGCCCCTGAGCTAAAATGAGTTTGACACCCCTGGTCTAGAGAGAGAGGTACTGAGAACCTTGGCTACCTGTAAACGTTTACTTTAATTTTAGTGCAAATCTTTAATTGACACATATATATATATATAGTAAAATCAGTTCAAAATTAGCATGCAGCTCAAAGAGAGCACATTCATAGAGGTTCTATTGATTGTTGTGATCAAAGAAATAAGATTGTCTCACAACCATAGAGATAAGATTGTCTATTTCACAACCATAGAGATAAGATTGTCTATCTCACAACCATAGAGATAAGATTGTCTGTCTCACAACCATAGAGATACGATTGTCTGTCTCACAACCATAGAGATAAGATTGTCTATCTCACAACCATAAAGATAAAACAATCATCATTGTTGATTCATCTACAGTTCTCATCATGAACTCCTTGGATCTTCACCCTTTCTCATATTTCTCCTGTTTTCCCAAATGACATTTTAGAGACTAAGGGAGAGCGAAAAGCAGAGAGACGCTGCCTGGGACTTCCAATGCATGGAGCAGACCAGACATGGCGAAGAGGAGGAGAGGAGAGCAATGGAGCTGCAGAAGGAGGAGGATTGAGATTGACCGATACGACGAACAGCTGGCCAGAGAGCAGCGCAAACAGTAAGCATAGAACGCAACCACACTGAGACACTTCACTCCTTACATTCTTTCTTCGAGAGCATCCTGACTGGTTGCATCACCGCCTGGTATGGCAACTGCTCGGCCTCCGACCGCAAGGCACTACAGAGGGTAGTGCGTACAGCCCAGTACATCACTGGGGCCAAGCTTCCTGCCATCCAGGACCTCTATACCAGGCGGTGTCAGAGGAAGGCCCTCAAAATTGTCAAAGACTCCAGCCACCCTAGTCATAGACTGTTCTCTCTGCTACCGCATGGCAAGCGGTACCGGAGCACCAAGTCTAGGTCCCTAAGGCTGCTCAACAGCTTCTACCCCCAAGCCATAAGACTCCTGAACAGCTAATCATGGCTACCCAGACTATTTGCACTGCCCCCCCACCCCATCTTTTTACGCTGCTGCTACTCTGTTAATTATTTATGCATAGTCACTTTAACTCTACCCACATGTACATATTACCTAATCTACCTCAACTAGCCGGTGCCCCCGCACATTGACTCTGCACTGATACCCCCCTGTATATAGCCTCCCTACTGTTATTTTATTTCACTTCTGCTCTTTTTTTCTCAACACTTTTTTGTTGTTGTTTTATTTTACTTTTTTATAAAAAAATAAATGCATTGTTGGGTAAGGGCTGTAAGTAAGTATTTCACGGTAATGTCTACACCTGTTGTATTCGGTGCATGTGGCAAATACAATTTGATTTGATTTGATACTTGGTGAGAGATATCTTGCCACATAAACATACACAACAGAGACACACAAACACGTTACTGTCAAAGTACAAAGAGATACCGTACATGGTGAAAGAATTGAAAGTCTGAGTTTTCACATAAAAAGAGAGACAGTTTTATTGTAAAACAGACTGTGACAGTGTATTTGAACCATCTTGTCTCCACCAGTCAGCAGTACCTGGCCAAGCAGCTGTACACCAACCGGCCCACGGCCCAGTACTTCACCCAGCTCAGCAGCAGCTCACGCTGAGGGGGATCACCAGCACAGACTCACCACACAATACTGGATCTCAAATTCAGATGATAGGCACAACACAACAAGAAAATAAAGTTTATGATATAGGCATACATTATATGTTTTCTTGTCTTTTATCCCTAAGATTTAGTCACTAGGTCAAATGTTGCAGTGTTCTGCAACTTATTCTCTCAGGAGCTGTATTTTAGGTATAAAATGGACACCATGACTATCTAGCTATTCTTTTATGTTTCATGTGTAGTGGTCAGTATCTAATTTCGCTTATCTTTTCAAGATAAACATGCATGTCACCATCTTTAGACATCGATGCTATGAGTGATTCTAATGATGACACAACCCAATGACGCCTCTTTTGGTTCAGATTGTTCCAAGTTCTTTATTTATTTAATCAATCACATATTTAGTTACAAGTAGCTGATTCATAATGCAGATAGTTACATTGTCATTGGACCCATAACATACAGTACAAGACCCCCTCCATACAGTGACCCGCTCCCTAACCAAACCCCGTCCACTTCAGTCTCAACCAATGGCACGAACACACTAGCCCAGTCCCAGATCAGTTTGTGCTGTCTTGCCAACTCCTATGACTTTAGCATGATAATAACCATAGGAGTTTGCTATACAACCCAAACCGATCTGGGACCAGGGTATGAATACACTACTGTACCTTCCAATCCCCCGGTCCCCCAGTTCCATTTTTGCTAATGGTGCAACCCAAACAAAGCACACACAGGCACTCTGTCTCCCCTCAGGCAGTGAAATACACAGTATCCCTCCCCTCCCTCCATCATGAATGTAAATCCATAAATGTCATGTCCTAAAGAAGCTGCTGCTGTCATTCTCGTCTATATATCACTTTTTTTATTTGATTTCATGTTGTAAGTATAAAAATCAGAGGGGATAGAACCAAACGCTAGCGCTAACCCTGGTTTAGTCGATCCCCTCACTGACCACGTAGGAAGCAAAGCAGAGCCAGATAGATAGAAAGGCAGGCAGGCAGGCAGGCAGGCAGTAGAGTGAGTATCTGTGTGTTCAGTAGTTCACTCATTCAAAGCAAACGTTTGTCCTGACAACACACCATGACAAACACAGATGGTTAGCAGCTAGATAGGCTGTGTCACTATTGGCGCTCCTATTCCCCATATAGTGCACTACTTTTGACTAGGGCATGTGGGTATTTTTCTGAACACATAGGGCTCTGGTCAAAAGTAGTGCACTAATAGGGTGCCATTTGTGACGCAAACCATAGTCGTGATAGAATAATTGGCATATTACTTCATTTTGTCATTTTATCATTCCCATATGAAAATAGATTTCTAAAAAGAAATGTTTTTGTCCTGAGTGTCTGTAACAGCAAACTACAGGGAGCTGGGCTCACTCAAACCTCAAACCTCTTGTTCAGACCTACTGTCTTTCTGCCAGCCAGAGACAATCCCATTTCACTATCCCATGTCCCTGGGGATGCACTGAACAGTAACAGCTTGGCTTGCAGTCAGACCTGGGTTCAAATAGCATTCGCTTTCTCTCAAATACTTAAAGCTGTGCTTGATTGAGATTGCCTGGCACAATGGAACCAATAGAGTAGTCCCAAAAGTGCAAACCTTGGTCTCCGCCCATCCGGCAATCCAGGCAGGCCCAATCAAACTCTTCTTTAAAATAAAAATAATCTTATTTTAACCTGGGTCTGTCTTAGAATAGACTGTAGGCTAGTTTGACTGGGTGAGCAGTGAGAGCAGAGCCAGCACATTGCATATGCTCCCTGTGGTGCTTCATCACAAGCTAGCTCACTGCATCCCTCCCTGCCTCATCATCATCACACTGCCTCAGCACAAAAAAGTGTACGAAATGGCAACCTATTCCCAAAATCAGTGCACTATATAGGGAATAAGTTGCCTTTTCAGACACAGTACATAGACTCTCAACAGATACTCACTGGACTGCAATGCTTAAAAGGACACTTAACAAATTGGTGAAGTGCCCCTTTAAAGTCAGGAAACAAAACATTGATGTACATGATGAACATGAACCTACTTTTAACCTCTGCTTTCAATAGGTTGGTTTTGATTCTACTGTATATTTTAAAATGACATTAGCTACTGATTAATCTCGACATCCAAAACCAAGTCTCACATGCGCACTTCTACTACTAGTGATGTAAAATGTATATTTTTTGTTTTCTTTTAGAGCGTTTGCAATTCAAGGAATGGTGTGAGGATTTCTTTTTTGCCTTTTAGTTTTTTTCTTTACTATTAACAATACATTTTAAACAGCCAAATCACCATCATTATTTGTCAAAGCAGGAAAATATGAATTCATAGGTTCGTTGTTACAAAACAAATAAAAAATGTAATGACTTTTTAAGTAAACTTTAAAGTAAACTTAAGACAGAGTTTTAAAACCCACACATTTTTATCAAACAAACTCATATGTTGGGTTGTATTTACATTCAGTGACATCTTTCTATATCTCTTTCTTCTCCTATATAAATACCTCTGTTCACCTTTTCTCTAAATTATTGTTTCTGTCTGCTTCTTGTCATCATTCCGACCGTTGTCTGATTCAAAACAAAGGGTTTTTGGCATGTAAATATTATTTCCACCCAGCCCTACAAAGAATACATCCTATACATTAGATGCAAAAAGCTACCAATCTACGCGTTTGCCTTTCAGCCCAATCTGCTGATCAGGTAAGCCTGTTTTGGATTGCCAGCGTGCATTGTTCAGGGCCTGAAAGGAATATCGAGAGAGAGAGAGAGTGTGTGTGTGTGTGTGTGTGTGTGTGTGTGTGTGTGTGTGTGTGTGTGTGTGTCCGTGCTTCTGTGTATTTCACTCCCAGCTAGCTGTAAATATATAGAACTACTGCTCCCTACCACACATTATGGCGTGCAGTAGTGTTATGTTATGTTATACTATGACATGAAGAGGTATGGGAAAGATTACATTTATCAGCTGACATAGTTTAATACACCGTAGAAAGAGACACAGACAGAATAGATACAGAAAGCTAGTACACAAAGAGGTCTACATATAAATTACAATATCATACCAATAATGACGTCACACTTGTGGTGAAAAGGAGAGAGTAGAGTACAGTAGAGTAGAGAGAAGTAGAGTAGAGAGGAGTAGAGAGGAGCGGAGTAGAGTGGAGTAGAGAGGAGTAGAGTGGAGTAGAGTAGAGAGGAGCGGAGTAGAGAGGAGTAGAGAGGAGTAGAGTGGAGCGGAGTAGAGAGGAGTAGAGAGGAGCGGAGTAGAGAGGAGTAGAGAGGAGTAGAGTGGAGTAAGTACAGAGGAGTAGAGAGGAGCGGAGCAGAGAGGAGTAGAGAGGAGTAGAGTGGAGGAGAGTAGAGTGGAGTAGAGTAGAGAGTAGAGAGGAGGAGTAAGTGAGTAGAGTAGAGAGGAGTAGAGAGGAGTAGAGAGGAGTAGAGTAGAGAGGAGTAGAGAGGAGTAGAGTAGAGGAGTAGAGAGGAGTAGAGGAGGAGAGATAGAGAGGAGTAGAGAGTAGAGGGAGCGGAGTAAGAGGAGAGTAGAGAGGAGTAGAAGAGAGAGAGATAGAGGTAAGGAGAGAGTAAGAGAGAGAGGAGTAGAGAGGAGTAGAGAGGAGTAGAGAGTAGAGGATAAGTACGAGAGGGAGGGGAGTAAGAGAGAGAGGATAGAGAGGAGTGAGAGAGTAGAGAGTAGGAAGAGTAAGGAGAGATAGAGTGAGTAGGTAGAGAGGAGTAAGTAGAGTAGAGGACGAGTAGAGTAAGAGGAGTAGAGAGGAGTAGAGGGAGTGAGAGTAGAGTAGGAGAGTAGAGGGATAGTAGAGAGATAGTGAGTTAAGAGTAAGAGAGATAGAGGAGTAGAGAGGAGTAGAGAGGAGTAGAGTGGAGTAAAGTACAGAGGAGTAGAGAGGAGTAGAGAGGAGTAGGAGTAGAGTAGTAGAGTCAGGAGATAGAGGAGGAGTAGAGGAGGAGTAGAGGGAGTAAGAGTAGAGTAGAGGAGTAGAGAGAGCGAGGAGTAGAGAGGAGTAGAGGGAGTAGAGTAAGAGTAGAGGGATAGGGAGAGGGGGGTGAGAGGAGTAGAGTGGAGTGGAGTTAGAGAGGAGTAGAGAGGTAGTGAGTGGAGTAGAGAGGAGTAGAGAGGAGTAGAGAGGAGTAGAGTGAGTAGAGTAGAGAGAGAGGGGTGAGTAGAGGAGTAGAGAGGAGTAGAGTGGAGTAGAGTAGAGAGTAGAGAGGAGCGGAGTAGAGAGGAATAGAGTAAGGATGTAATCTGGTGCTCTGTGTAGAGGGCCAGTAGGCACTGGAACTCATAGTGAACATGTAGTACAGATCTATAATACTGTATATGGCTAGATAGAGAGACGTAATGCACATATATACACTGACTTGCTTGCTTGCTATACAGCATTTCAACAGCTAACTCTTTCTCTTAAGCATCCAATTTATTTATAGTATGAAGACCTGGCTAAAATTATGATTATCTTGATTTATGGAGAAAAAAATCAAAATATGAATAATCTCATATATGCAAATTATAAAAAAATAATAATAGTTCAAAAATGAGAAAATATAAGCAAAACTGATTGCCAACCCCCCCCCCCCCCCCCCCCCCCCAAAAAAAAATGGTCAGATGGAGAGATAACATTGTTGAATAACAGATGTATCTGAATGGTCAGTAGTATATTGATCATATAGCCAGTGAGTTTATGGATGGAAAAGTCAGTCAAGTAGATAAACCCATGTATTATTGATAGCTAGGAGTGGGTGGGCAGTGGGCATGTTTGTATTGTTGACATGTTGTACTGTACCTGACGTGGTTGACAGAGATGTTTTGGTCTGACAGACAGTCCCATTGCCTTAGTAACCGTTAATCTAAAATGGCCACCTCTAACTAACTAGCCTAATCTAAAATGGCGGCCGAGTTGGGCAGGCCGTTGGTGGTGGGGGTGGGATTGAGAGGGGAGCTTTCCTGCAGTGTGCCCGGGTCCGGGGTGGCTTCGCTGGGCCGGCTGTACTGGCTGACCAGGGAGTCTTCCATGTTCACCTCGGTTACAGCAATGCTACCGTTGTTATAGCCATCCAGCTTGCTCTCATCACACAGAGACGGCTGGCTGGCTGTCCGCTTCTCCTCATTGTCACTACAGGATGGAGGGACAGAGGGAAAAATTGAGAGAGAGGGAGGGGGTAGAGAAAGACAGATAGAGAGGTATAGAAAGAAAGAGAGAGAAAGAGGGACGTGAAAGGAGGTTGGTAGGTGGGAAAGATTGTTACTATGTGTGGGTGGTTCACCAGTGGAGGCTGCTGAGGGGAGGACAGCTCATAATAATGGCTGGAACTGAGAAAATGGAATGGCATCAAACCATGTGTTTGATGTATTTGATACCATTCCACTGATTCCGCTCCAGCCATTACCACAAGCCCGTCCTCCCCAATTAAGGTGCCACCAACCTCACATACCAAGGTCAGACATTGTATTGTATCACACAGCCATAGGAAGGGTATTGGCTAGGTATACTGGGGAAAGGAGAGGATAAATGGGAGAGCCTCTACAAAAAACATTCACTATTTCGACTCAGTTGCAGGGAATGCATGCACAGTAGAGCACCTTACAGTATACCTTTCTAGAGATCTGGCAAAGCAGGGGAAAGCATTAGGGGAAAGAGGAACAGTAATGAACACGAGGTTGGGATAAAAACATACTTTTATATTTTCAATCAGGGAATCAAAGCGATCATGTTGATTTTGGCATGACATTAAAAAAATGCTAATTTGGGGGGTATTGACTTGCATTGTTTAAAAAAATAATAATCT